AGAAAACTCCTCTATAATTATCAACATTCTTATAATTACTTCTTCTCAGAATCTCTCTGGTATTTAAATGGTCATTGGGGGAAAAGCTGCAGATTGAACTAGAAATACAACCTTTCACATTCCAAGTTGGTGGAAGGGGTGGGGACAGATATGGTTTTCTCAATCTGTGAATATGTGAAATCCTCTTCAGGAGATTATGTAAGTCACATTGTTTTGAATTAAAGTTACTTCAACATTCACATGAGAAGACAGAAATCTCTATTGGGATGAACCAATTCCAGAATGGTGTCACTCGTGGTGTTGGTTCTAGTGCTGATGGATCCATCAGTTTGTAAAGACCATCATGCTAAATGCACCATCAGCAAACCCCTCTCAAGGCTTCACAAATATTATCAAGAAGGAGATCTCATCATTGGGGGAATTTCTTCTCTTATCTATGTCATTTCAGAAATCATGGATTTCAGCAAACTACTCAACGATATGGCATATAATATGCCCTTGTAAGGAGGGTTTGTTTCACCTTATATATATCATCTGTGTATGTCATGACAATAGCTGAAAAGTTGTTCATATTGCACTGAATTCTAGGAATGTAGAGATTCATTTGGATTTCTCTCTTAGTTTACTAGCCACCCTATTTCCATTCCATCCTTCTTAAGGAAGAGAGGGACACTGACTGTTGTCTGCTATGATCCTATATGGAAAACACTAACTTAATAGTTTCCATTATTTCATAATAGAAAAGTTATTACTTATCAAAAGAGAATCACTGTTCAGAGGATGGTTATAATGGAATATGAGTAAATTGCATATAATGCTTTGATCTAGGTATACACATCTCCACTCTCCTAGATGACTCATTGGATAGGCTAGAAATCCTTTAAAAACATTTTAACTTTTTAAGGGAACACAGAATAAAGAAACAGAATAGGGGCAAAGGAATTAAAGGTATGATCGCAAAAACACAATACAGAGGGCAATTTTACAGATATTAAGGACAATCCTTGATTAAAATGCATGTGTTTATAAAAAGAATATGAGTTGGTAGTTTAAAGAACCAGTATAACAACCTATATGATTTATTCTACCATTTTCTCATAATATATTATCATTTGTCCCTATCTTATCTATTTTATCATAAAACATGGATAACCGCATAGAAATTTTGTATATGATCTTAACATTATTGTAATAAAAGTCATATAAAAGATGATCGCCTTAACATTTCATATTAAAACAATCATATAATATTAAACTATTCACATATATAACTACAGAGGTTGGTTATAGTAATCATAGCAGACTTGCCAGTTATTTTCAAATTTATCTTTCTTTCTTTGATTGTTATTTATCAGTTTTGTCATAACTACATATTCTTACATTTTGTCTATCCAGTTCTGAAGAGTTGGTCAACCATCAATTTTCCACTTTGCTGCAAATATTACTCTTGCTGCAGTTAACATGTATCTGAGGAGTTCATACATTGTTCTTTTTGCATTCACTGGTAGAATTCCTAGAAGCATTTTCTAGGTATAGATGCATCCTTTATATACTCATCTAGTCCAAACTCAGTTAAAATTTCTCTCTTATACAGTTGTAAGAAGAAGGAAATGAATTGCTCATGTATGTATCTTTCTTGGTGGGAAATTTCATTTAGTTTTTTTTTTACTCCAGTTATTGATCTCCTTTCACATTCTTTTCTTGAACCATAAGCCAAATAATGTCCAGATTTATTTGCATATTCAAAATATTTTTGTTTGATGTATCTTTTTTCCCTGAATTTCCTCTGATTCAATCAAGTTTAACTGGTTTTTCAGTTGTTTAATTTCTTTTAAAACTGTTTTCTTTGATATTTTTATATTTTGGTCTTCCAACGTTTCTTTCTCTTATTTTAGTAGCTTTTTTCTATTCTATATTTCTTTTTCTTAAAAGATATCGCTATAAGGTTTTTTCTCATAAAAACTTTTTTTGCCTCCCAAATCGATGTCATTACCAAGTCTTTTTTTAACTTTCCTAAATTATATCTTTTTCAAATAGGAGTTCATTGTTTAATCTCCGTCTTTTCCCACCCCATTCTTCCTCCTTGCCATGATAACCATAGTTGGTTATGGTCTGCAAAGAACTTTATTTGGATATGTGCATTTTTTGATTTATGATTAAAGTTTTGGACATCCAACACATATCAATTCTAGAATAATTTTGATGTCAGATTAAAAGGTATAATTTCTAGATTTGGGATTAATTGTTCCCCAAGCATCAATCAGTTGCAACAGTTCCATATACTGAACATCATTCTAGGAAAGTCTGCCCCCCCCTGTCTTTTGAGATTTATCATTTTTGGGTCCCAGAACTCCATTCATATCTCCAAAACTTATTATTATTTTCCCTTCTTGAAAATCTAACAGTTACTGAAATAAATTGCCATAGAACTTTTCTTTGTCATTATTTGGAATGTATAAAGATACCAAAGTGTTGGTCTTGACATCAGGAGATCGAATTTTCAACATTAAATATCTCCCATTCACATCCTTCAGATCCTTTATGATGTTGATTCTGTGATTTGTTATGTAAATCACTATCCCTTTCCTCTTCTCATTCTCAGAAGCAGCATAGACCTTTCCCAACCCTTTATTCTTATGAACACGTTCATGTTGTTTTTATGTGGGTCTCTTGTAGAGAAACAATATATGCCTTTTGCTTTTTTAATAGATTGAAAGTTTCAGACCATTTAGTGGGAGAGTTTAAGCCACTGATGTTTATTGATATAGCATTCAGATTATCCGTCTTCTAAAGAAACACTGCTTCCTGGTTTAATTTCCCTTCTACACCTGGTCCATCCGATAACACTACTGCAAGTTGTTTTGCTTGTTCAATTGAGAATATGGTTCTTCTGCCTTTTGGTAGTTTCACTTCCAATGCAAACAGTACCTTCCAAAGGTACTTTATTTATTTCTTTTGTGAAAGGTTGAGATCTCTTCTCTTTTTCAAAAGAGTGAGAGGAAGATCTTGAAAAAAATGTATTTGTCTCATAAATATTCAGAGGAAAAGTTCTTCGTTTGTTCAAAACAAGATTGCTTGTTTTTTGTGTATAAAGGTAAAGGTAAAGGTTCCCTTGCTCGAAAGCCAGTCGAGTCCGACTCTAGGGTTGCGGTGCTCATCTCCGTTTCAAAGCCGAAGAGCCAGCGCTGTCCGAAGACGTTTCTGTGGTCATGTGGCCGGCATGACTAAACACCAAGGCGCACGGAACGCTGTTACCTTCCCACCAAAGTGGTGCCTATTTATCTACTTGCAATTTCTTGCTTTCGAACTGCTAGGTTGGCAGGAGCTGGAACTAGAGACGGGAGCTCACTCCATCATGCGGCACCTGGGTCTTGAACTGCTGAACTACTGACCTTCCACAGCCTGCAGTTCAGTGTCTTAACCACTTGAGCCACCGCAGCTCCCTTTTGTGTATAAACTTTACCAAAATATCACATGGAAATTTATTCCTGGCAGCAAATTTAGAATGAATTCTATATATTTGATCAATGTGCAGGGAATCTTGTTTAATCTTGTAATGGACTTGTAGCAGTTTAGCAAAGTTCTCCTCAAGATCCAATTTACCAAAATCCCCTGGGATGGATCAGAACATAAGATTACAGCCTCTGTTTTGGACCTCCAAAGTTTCAATACTTTGATAAGTTTTTTCCAGTAAATGATTTTGAGTTGTTTGATGGTGTTCCAGGTCTTTGAATTGCTTCTGGATATGAACAATCTTTTCAGTGTTTTCTTGAATCTTCTTCTGGTTTTTTTTTTAAGTCTGTGACAACCTTGTAGTTATATCTTGTATCAACATTGAAAGTTCCTTTTCGATATGATGAAAGGTATTTTCTTGACCTTATTTTAATTGTGTAATTTGTTGTTGAATCCCTTCTTCTATCTGTGTCACTTTATGACACATTCAATCAACATCTGAGAGGACAGTGTACCTGTGATTGTGTTCAGCTGTATGGTCACGTTATCTTGAAGTTTCTCCAGCCATTCAGGCATTTCCAGATCTGGTTCTCCCTCAGTCCCCCCCCCCACTTTTCCTTGGTATGTGTGACATCTTTTTATGTCTTTATCATCTATAAAGACATTTCATTAACTTATTACCTTAAACTTTTCATATGATTACAATCACCACAATAAAACTATTAAAATTAAACTTAAACCTTAAACTCTAATATAATAATATAAAATCTAATATAATAATATACTCTGATATAATAATAATAATAATAATAATAATATAAAACTCAGTGTCAAATAGAGCTATATCATTATATTCAACAGCAGGAAACTTGTATTTCAAATGTCCTACTTTATAATGAATATTAGAAGCAGGTTTACAGAAACATTATAAATAATTTTAAAAGCAAGTCTAAGATGTTAGGATTAAATAGGATATGAAACACTAAGTTAAATTAGTCTATAATAAGAATAAGTATTTTAGTTATACTCTTATTCAAGTCTATTTCACATAAGAAATAAACCATACGAGTTATTTACCATTGTTACTAAAGAAACTGAGTTCTTGTATTGAGTTCTTATTGTCTTGTTCAGGGCTTGGCATTCAACTCTCCACTTACTATCTTCACATGGGATCAAATCTTCACCTTCCAAAAATCCTTGATCATTCAGATTTCAAGGACAGTGGTTGTGAGGCCACACCTTTTTAAAATAATGGTTCAGCTTCTTTGGGACATAAATGCTTGATTACATTACAGAATATAATATGACTGACTCTCTTGAGAGATATTAAAATATTAGAGAATCACTGAAATATGCAGAAACAATCTTTGGATGAGAGAGTGATGACATATCAAATGGGATGGAGTTGATACATTCTGAAAATTACTTAAACCAATCCATTGCACTATTTCCATAGACAGTATTTCTACCAACATATCAATAATTGAGGATCACACACTATAATATTATATAAATTATGCTTAGTTGCTCTTTGATTCTTCTCATAGTGTATGGCCTAATTATTACCAGCAGATCTTGGCTGTGGCATTTGCTGTGAAGGAAATCAATGAAAATCTGCAACGTTACCCAGTGTAATTTTGGGCTTAAACATCTGCAAAACCTAACTTGGTGCAAGACAGGCATATTGTACCATGATAAACCTTCTCTCTCAAAAAACACACACAGATGTTTCCCAATTTCAATATTTTTTCAGTACTTACATCACAGAGTTTCACAATATTGACTCTCCAGTGGGATATGGAAATTTTCAGAAAGTAACCTAAAATACACAAAAAGCATCTCCAGAATGAGAGATGGATAGAATTTCAAATCAAATGGACAGCAGGCAATATAATAATAATTGATTGATTGATTCGATTTATATCCTGCCCTCCCAGCCAAGGCATCCATTGTACTGATATCATAATCAATGTTTCTAGTCAGTGTTTGAGTGTTTGAGCCTAGGGCACAATGATACTACATTAATTTTACTTAGTTCCTTGCTGATTCTCTTTATAGTGTACTGACTAATCATTATCAACATGTGTTGGCCATGGCATTTGCTGTGAAGGAAATCAATGAAAACCTCCAGATCTTACCTAATGTCACTTTGGGATTCCACATCTGGAACAGCTACTTCAATGCAAGAGAGACATATCGTGCCATGGTAGAACTTATCTCGACAAAGAACACATTTCTCCCCAACTACAAGTGTGACTTCCAGAACAATCTGATAGCAGTCATTGGAGGACTTGAAGCTGAAACTTCCCTCTACATAGCAAGTGTGCTAGCTATCTACAAGCTTCCACAGGTAGGCTGGGTATGCCGAGTATAAACTTCCACATCACATTTTGTACACTTACATGATTGAGTGATCCTCCATATAAAATACTTTACAGAATATTTTTAAATAAGCAACTTTAAGAGAAGAACAGAGGGAAAGACCCAGAAGTCTTTAAAAAAAAGATTCACTGCTTCTAAGCAGACATTTGTCTTAAATTCAAAGTAGGGTCTTTCCATTCCAACAAAATCACTGCAATTGCTCTATATGGGCAGCTATGATCATTTTAACGTTTTCATTGTACTCTTGTTGTCTTTTTCCACTACAGTTAACTTCATTTATGACAGGACAATCTTTACTACCTTTCATAGAAATGAAGATCTTTTCATCAGATGTATTCATCTAGCCCCCTTTCATAATCCAAACTAATGAAACCATTTTCATTTCTTTTCCATAAACAACCTGAAAGTGAAACATTGATCTGTGTTTGATTTTTTTTACAACCAACACAATAGGAAAGTTGTCCCCATGCTTCTGTTCTATTTTTCTGCTACGAACTAACTACATTTATGAAAGTACAAAATTCATAGAAATTAAGATTATTTCATCAGATGTATTTCTCTAGCCCCCCACTCATGCCTTTCACATCCCAAGCAACTGAAAACATTTTTATTTCATCTGCAAAAACAGCCACAAAGTGAAGCATAGATCTGTCTTTGATTTTTTTTTACTAACAACCCAACTGAAAAGTGTGCACATCTCTACAAATTATGAATTCTTTCTCAAATGGAGAAGTATTTTGAAAACTTTTCAATGATATTCTTTACTTTTCCCTTCCAATGTTCAACTCTACAGCTCACCTATGGCTCTGCTTCAGTAATGAATGAAAAATTATCTGGCCTTTCTGTCTATCAGATGGTTCCAAACGAAGTCAATCAATACAGGGGTATCCTCCACTTAATTCTGCATTTCAGGTGGACGTGGATTGGGCTCATTGTTGTGGATGATGAACGTGGAGAAAGATTTCAGCAAGCCCTGCTTCCTCTGTTTTTTCAAAATGGCATCTGTTTGGCCTTCATAGCAAAATTCCTACAGGTCACAACCATCAATTATTATTTTACCATGATGCAGAATGGATTGGAAAAATTTGATGTTGTAATGGAGAGTAAAGCCAATGCTGTTATCCTTTATGGAGACAGTGAATCTATTTCATATATGAGGTGGTCTATACAATTCTCAGGGACAGTTTTCTCAGCAAAAAAGCTTAAAGGGAAAGTATATGTTACGACCATTCAGATGGATTTTGTGTCCTATTATTATCAAAGAAATTGGGACAAACAGATCCTTCATGGTGCTATATCCTTCAGCGTTCACACGAATCAACCACCAGGATTTCAGCAATTTCTTCAGAGCAGAAAACCTCATTGGACTGAAGGTGATGGCTTCATCAGGAATTTCTGGGAACAGGCATTCCTCTGTCATTTCTCAGATTCACTCCTGGGGAAGGAGTTTGATAAGAATTGTTCTGGGGAGGAGAAGCTGGAGAGCCTTCCCGCAGATATCTTTGATATGAGTATGACTGGTCCCAGCTACAGTATCTACAATGCTGTCTATGCTTTTGCACATTCTTTACATGCCCTGCATTCATCCTGTTATGGACACAGGAGGATGGTGGTGACAAAAAAATGTGACTTCTTCAGTAAACCATCATGGCAGGTGAATATCTTAGGTAGAAATGAAAATCATGTGTCTGGGGACTCGAAGAGTATGCAGTCTGTACAGCATATTATCTCCAGAAATCATTCATAAGTTCACACACTTCACTCCTATGCTGCCCCATCCAACTAAAAGTGATTCTATTCTTCATGTTTCATCCATGTTCATCATTTGCTCCACAGTTCTCTATTACAATGAAAGCCAGAATAAAGTGTGAATAAAACATGCAGTTCACATAAGTTGATCATTTTGAATATGATGCTCAAATGATGTAGACATTCATGTGTGTTTACATGGAGCTTATTTGATATTTTTGTTGAATTTGAGGTACAGAACAATTTAATGAGAGATGACTGATGAACGCAGAATGAAAGAGAAAATAGGACCGATGTATGCAGAAATCATGGGGGACAGCAGGTGTGGCAAGAAGGGGAAATCAGTAAGATTGAATGAAAAAGTGGTTGCATCAAACTGTATATATGAATCATCCTTCTGTATGGTTGCGGTCACACGCACCAGAAAAAATGGGGGGAGCGAGGCTATTTCCTCCAGAGGAATTTGACCCACAGTTGCACGATCACACCTCCCTTTGAAGCTGTGCACACAGTCCATCAGTGCATGATCAGATGCAACTGTGGGTGAGTCTTTTTGTGTGTGCGCCATTTTCCCCCCATGTGCTTAACTGAGGAATCGATGAATCGCACCTCCGCACCTAGAGCTCCATGTAGAGTTTGCGATGGTGTGCATACTGCGAACGGGGAAAAACCACTGGCACAGAGTCAGGATGTGCTGATCAGACCATCCCGACACCATGAGAAAGCGCTGGAGCCTGGCACTCCTTCTTTGCCCATGCATAGTCAGCCTCTGGTGTGCCCTACATCTGGGGCACTCAGGAGAACTAGGCAGGGAGTCTGACCTTGGGGTGTCTGCAACTGGGGGCGCTAGGCCAGGCTCAGGATTGGCCTCTCCTTTTTGCTGCACCTCGTGTGCAGCTGCTGAAGACTCTTCCTCCTCAGGTATTGCTGAGGGTTCTTCTTCTGGGCTGACTCCAGAGGAGGCTGGGTTGCTCCCTGTCTCTTCCTCATCTGAGGAGTAGTCAGCCATGATACTTATGTTCTTCCAGTGCTAAGACCATCTGCATATCTATGGAGGTGGATGGCTCTGGTGCTGGGAGATGAGTCATGCCTACCCCACTAAAAGGAATCTTGTACCCTCTGACTGTACAGAGTGGATAATCAATTATTGTCAACTTTGATGTAAATTCTGGGCTATAAAGCATTTCTCCATAGAACTTATTTGCTATTGTCCTAAGAAGAGTATTCTAGTTATCATCTTATTATTTGTGGAATTTATTCTCTCAAAGTCTTGATACTAAATTTGTTTCATGTTTCATACCACCATGAAACTCACCTAAGTGTGGAGTTTCCCTCTAGTTGAAGAGCCCATGCTGTTGAGAAAGAACCCATGCTCTTGAGAATGAACCCAATGTTGGGGGTTTATTTTCTTTGAATTTCCTGTCACTTTGGTAGGCAAAAAAAAAAGGTAAAGCTAGTGAATGCATTTCCTCCTGATATAAATGCATACAAAAAAAGAAAGAAGAAACTCTGAATGTGTGCAATGTTTACAATAATAATTTAAAAGGATAAAAAGGAAAACCATAAAAATATCAGGCTATTTCATTTCATAAATTTCCTTTAAAAATCCACTAAGAAGGAATTATCAACATGCCCTTTGCTTTCCAATGTACAGATGAACTCAATTTTTGTTTCCCCTTTTCAATCTAGCTTCACCACTTCTTGAAAAGTGTTTCATTTAATAACAGCACTGGGGACAATATTTCATTTGGCACTCATGGAGAGGTTGTAACAGGGTATGATATCATCAACTGGCTTGCTTTCCCAAATCAATCTGTTTTTAAAGTCAAAATTGGAGAGGTTCATCCAGAAGCTCCTGCAGAACTAATGCTTACTATTAATGAAGATTCCATTACATGGAACAGCTGGTTTAACCAGGTAAGATTGGTCTACACCAGAGGTTCCCAAACTAATTTGGCATACTGCCCCCTTTTCAGGAAAAAAAATTCAGTGCCCCCCTGGACATCTACCTTCAAGAAGTGGACAAAAAGATGCAGTTTGTGGATCTGCACCTGGATCGTTCCATCCCACCTGGATCGTTCCAGCGCCCACTTTGGGAACCAGTAGAGTAGACTATGCACAATCTGGGGAAGCCTCCATTTAAGAATACATGTTACGCTGACATGCACTGTGGTGCTCCATTGTTTTTTAAACTATTTTTAATGAGAAATGCTGAGTACCAAAACTGATCTGAAACCACACAACAGAAAGAAGAGCCACTTTGGGTTAATTCAGAGTAGGCAGGAAAAGTTTTTTTAAGAAGGTTACTGGTTTCTTAATGGGGCCTGTTTTGTTCCTGATGTCACAACTCATGCAATCCTTCATTTTCAAACATGAGAAAGCCCTGCAGGAGTAATTAAACATAAGATACTTGGTAGCAAATGACTCAAGCAAACTGCACACCACAGGTGCGAAGTGAATGTCTTGGCCTATTGACCACTAATTATTTGAAGAAACACAACATCTTTTTTTAGATATGTTAACGGGCTGGTTTTCTGTTTTCCTCTCTCATTTATTGATTAGACACAGCCCCTTTCTGTCTGCAGTGGAAGTTGCCATCCAGGTTACAGGAAGGAAATGAAGGAGGGAGAACCATTCTGCTGCTATGGCTGCATTCCATGTCCAGAAGGAAAGATTTCCAATCAGAATGGTAAGACATTTGCAGCCCAATCCTAAAGAGGGTTGCACCCTTCGAAGCTGAGATGTAACCTGGTGTAATTCAGTGGGCAGCATACTGCAGTAGGGGTTGGGAGATGTAGGTTTATATCTTTACTCTGCAATGGGAGTTTGCTGGATGACAATGGACCAGTGACATATTCCAAATCAGACCTGCCTCACAGAATTGTGGTAGTGATAAAATGGAAGACCGGAGAACATTATCAGCTGCTTTGGGTCTCTACCTACCTACCTGTCTGTCTATATTTTTTTATGCATACAGTTTTAGATTTGTTGATATACGATACTTCAAAACTACCACCCCATTTCTCCCCAATGATATGTGAACTGCTGATGAGTGATTGTGAAATGTCAGAGTGGGTGGGATTTTCTCCAAGCTGAGTCCCAAGGAAATATGGAAGTCCCAAAAAAATAGGGCCAACATCAGTCATACTGATTGCATTGGTTGATTTCAGTAAACTAAGCTCCATACACCTTCCTGTTGCTCTGGTGTGGTATGACCTTGAGCTAGTTGTGCCTTCTCAGTTTAACATTCCTCTATTAGAAACTACATCAGCCATCTGAGATTGAAGGCCCTTTAAAGCATCCCACAATCAAATACATTATGTGCCACAGTAGTGATCTAGTTTCAATAGGGAATTAAACAAAATAATCTGCCTGCCTATGGAATTGTCCAGCCATTCCATGAGAAGTTCCTGCAGGTAAGTATTGGTTATGGAGTGAGATGTGGAGGCTGTAATCCCCTCAGCATGATCCATTTGAACAATGAAATATAGGAATATTTATAGGAAACACTGAAGCTGTCTTCCTTCTACCTCTTTTTTACAGACTTGGATGAGTGCATCACTTGCAAAGAAGACGAATATTCAGAAATGGGACAAACTCGATGCATCCCCAAAAATATCACTTTCTTGTTACATGAAGAACCATTGGGGATCATTTTTGTGACTTTAATCCTTTCCTTTGCTTTTATCACACTTTTGGTGCTAGGAATCTTTATAAAGCACCACAGCACCCCCATCGTCAAAGCCAACAACCGGAACCTCACCTATTCTCTCCTGATCTGCCTCCTCCTTTGCTTCCTTTGCGCTTTGCTATTCATTGGTCAACCTCAACTGATGTCATGTCTCCTCCAACAAACCATTTTTGGCATGGTGTTCTCGGTTGCCATTTCTTGTGTGCTGGCAAAAACTGTTATGGTGGTTCTGGCTTTCCTAAGCATCCAACCAGGAAGCAGGATGAGGAAGTGGGTGGGGAAAAGAGTAGGCAATTCCATTGTGATTTCCTGCTCCATTTTCCAAGCAGTCCTTTGTTTTGCATGGTTGGCAACTTATCCCCCATTTCCGGATGTTGACATGCACTCAGAGACTGAAGCCATTGTACTGGAATGTAATGTGGGGTCTGTCACCATGTTTTACTGCGTCCTTGGCTACATGGGGTTCCTGGCTGTTGTTAGCTTTGTGGTGGCTTTCTTGGCCAGAAAGTTACCCAACAGTTTTAATGAAGCCAAATTTATCACTTTCAGTCTATTGGTGTTTTGCAGTGTTTGGATGTCTTTTGTTCCCACCTACCTGAGCACCAAGGGAAAATCCATGGTGGCTGTGGAGATCTTTTCCATCTTAGCCTCCAGCGCTGGTCTTCTGGGTTGCATCTTTACCCCTAAATGTTTCATTATTATTCTCCGTCCTGAGTTGAACAACAGGGAACAGCTGATAAGAAGAGGACTCTTGTAAAGAACCATGTTTACACTTACAATCTGCGAGGAAGATTTGTTTATCCATCCTTCTGTCTGTCTGATACTCAGATAATTCAAGAATTAATCGAAATATGAGCCTAGGAGTCTAAAAAGTGGCAACTGGATTCAGGATTACCATGAGAGTTATCCTAATGGGTATCAAAACATCCTGGCCCATGAAATCCCTGAACCATCACATGCCTCAGATTTTTCATTGGAAGCCATCATTTATTCAGAAACCTCAAAATTGGCCAGTTACCTCAGAATGAGTGTTCAAGTTGCAATGACAACCACGAAGGGCATCACACCATCTTGGATTATGTAATCTTCAGAAATTTTACCCCACCCTTCATTCTGATTTGGAAACCTTGGTTTACTGAAGCAGTCATAGCTCATCTGAAAATATTTTTAAAGTAATGCTAAGCAAGTGGCACTTCAGACAAACGATATCTTCTTGCGTATTTTTTTTTCTTTGCAAGAGATTGGAGACTTGGATTTAAATACCCCCTCAGTATCCCCAATTATCTAGTGAGAGTGGCTATGAAGAGTATTTTTTTTCTCGCGTATTTTTTTCTTTGCAAGAGATTGAAGACCTGGATTTAAATACCCCCTCAGTATCCCCAATTATCTAGTGAGAGCGGCTATGAAGAGTAAGGGGGAGTGCTTGTTATGAAGAAACAGAGAAGTGGGGTAAGGGAAAAGAAAAACGTCTGACTGACTTTAAAGTATTTGCCAATTAGTGTGAGAGCTGTGGGAAAATGTCAAAAGAAGCCTGTTGAAGGCTGTGCCAAAAGAACTGTGGAATTTAATTAAACAGTGTTTAACAAGGATACATTTAAGGTAACTTAAGGTGGACTGTAAAAATGGTGGCAGAGGCAACAGAGGTAAACAAAAAGAAAAACGTTTGCCTGAATCAAAAGTACTTGCTAATTAGTGTGAGAGCTGTGGAAAAATGTGAAAAGAAATCTGCTGAATGCTGTGCCAAAAGAATTGTGGAAATTAATTAAACAGTGTTTAACAAGGCTACATTTAAGGTAACTTAAGGTGGACTGAGAAAATGTTACATACAGTGGCAGCAGAGGATGAGGATGATCTAGATATAATTCTACAAATAGAAGACCTTACTGTTGAACAATTTAAAAAGTTTTTAGAAGAATCAATCAAACAAGCAGTAGCAACAGCTTTTAAAAATCTGTTTGAAGGATCACAGAACTTACATGGTTTTTTGCTGCGCTTTTTCGGTAGGAAGCCTCAGTTGTGCCACGGAAGCGCTACGCTTCCCAGATGTGCTGGTGAGATCGCGACCGGAAACTCCGCTTGTCTTCCGTATCTCTTGCGTGGCTAATGTTGCGTGTGACCGCAGCCAGTGTTTAACAAGGCTATATTTAAAGTTACTTAAAGTGGACTGAGAAAATGTTACATACAGTGGCAGCAGAGGATGAGGATGATCTAGATATAATTCTACAAATAGAAGACCTTACTGTTGAACAATTTAAAAAGTTTTTAGAAGAATCAATCAAACAAGCAGTAGCAACAGCTTTTAAAAATCTGTTTGAAGGATCACAGAACTTACATGAGTAACTTAATAGTATGTAGTTTCATAAGAATTGGGGGAATGTAGAGGGGTAATAATGAATTGGCGAAGCAGAAATGGGGTAAATTATTCTATTGGGATTTTTTTTTGCACTTAGGATAGAGTATAAATTAGGTATTGGGATTTAAAAGTGTTTGGAACATCATTGTACCTCACAGAGTTAAATAGAATTTATTTTGTGAGAAAAACATTGTTCTTTGGTGTGGTAGTAAGTAAGGGACCTTAATAAGTTGTAGAAAATATAATAGCTATTATTTTGATTTTTTATGTAAAATCAGGTCATGCCATAATTAATGAATTAAGGTGGGTGGAATTGGATATGAAGTGGTAAATGGTGATAATAATTTCTAGTTATAACTTGACTTTCTAGGAACTATTTGTCTATTTATAAGTAGTTGATTGAGATATATGTATGAATGGTGAAGAAAAGACTGAATATTAAGGGAATAGCAAAGGAATCTTAATAGAAGTTAAGATGGTGATTAATATACAAAATAAGTGGCAGATATGGGGATAACTAAATGTCTAAGTCTTTTGTTTTTGGCTCTGTGTTAGATAATTGGGAAAATTTAATAGATATAATACAGGAGTAAAAAAAGGTATGAAATGTGCGATATATAACTTCAGTGGAATAACATCAGATATAAGAGATTAAGGAATTTACTATGATTTTGTAGAGGTGCCTAGAATTATTTCTTTGTTTGTTGGTTTGTTTGGAAAATTAATAAATAGATTACAAAAAAAAATTATTTAATTAAATTAATTTATAAACTGTCCTCCCCGGAGGGATAAAATGGTATGCAACATATATGGATAAATATATCAGTCAATAAGTCAGCAATTAAAACAAAACCCAGCAATACATAAAGTAAAAACTCATCCACATGGCATTTATTACTAATTTATACCCTTCTTCACAGGGAGGGGCAGGGGGCAATCTACAGAAACCAGGCTCGATACTAACCCATTGCTGTTCCTAACCATAGGCCTGGTGGAACGTTGCTGTCTTACTGGCCCCACAGAACTGTACTAAGTCTCGCTGGCATGACTGTCACTAGGCAGAGAATCCCACCAGGCCAGCATCATCGTTGAAAAGGCCCTGGCTCTTGTTGAAGATGGCTAGGAGACACAAAATTGGCCAATGGTTTCAGAATTATAATGGGAGCTGCAATCCTGCAGTTGATAAGAGCCTGAAAGAAAGGGAATTGTATCATTGTGGCCTGCATTAAAGTCAGACTCCCCAACTGCAATTAAAAAAGGTTTTCTGTGGGAAGTATAGCTCATCCAAAAATAAAGCTAGACATTTGCAAATGCCCATGAATTATAGGATGACATGGGTTTTTGCAATGCCAAAAATGAACGCAATTGTAACATCTCGTCTTAGGTTATCTGCAGAAGTGGCACTGTGGCCCAAATTACCACCCTTGGGAATGAAAACTAAGGTTTTCTTTGGTGGGTATAACCCATCAGAAACCAAAGCTTGGTGTTACAGAAATATCAATAAGTTTCAAAATGATGGTTGGTCTTGTGGTGCCAAAAATAAAGAGGATCGGTACATCCTGGCACAAATCAGCTCTGTAACGTCCTGTGGCTATTTTCAATGAACTCAGAGCTTTCTCAGAGTTTTCTGCTCAGTATAACATCCAAAAATTCCAATTTCATCTCTAGGAACTCCCTTGGTTAAACCACTGTTTAGAAAAGTTGGAACCAGAGCTAATGGAAGAGAAATGGAAGGCCACAGTGCATCTGACTCCACATAACACAAGAGAGTGTGGGTAGATAAGGCTGGTGTTCTGGATTAAATTGTGCTGCCTGTTTTAATGGGGTGAGTCTCTGTCTTTGGAAAGGTTGGTAAAGATTTGAATCATTCCTTCTATTAAAACAATAAATATAGTAATCTGTCACCATCCAAGCAGGTTGGTTTTCTCACTGGAGATTTCTCGAACTGGCTGCTGCTGGTCTTTGCCTTTTGGGTTGACTGCCCCTTTGTTGCAGACTAGCCTTCCAGAGTAAGTTAGGAAGACCCTTTTGTCTTCAGAAAGTGGGGATAAATTGAATTGTTTGAGAGAACATCGTCATTGCCCTGGGGTATCTGAATGTGGTTTTGAGCAGCATCTTTCCCTTCCTTTGCTTTCACTTTGAAGGGAACAATAAGCAGACAACTTGACATGGCTTCATTGATCTCCATCAGTTCCCCCACCCCTATTTCCCCCTTTGTATTTATCACCTCACCATGAATTATTTGTCTCAGGCAGGTAATGACCACTGAGGTGTGCAGGAGCCAGCAATGAAAGCAAAATAGATGGCAAGCTGACACTAGCCAATGCAGAACCCAGGATCTGAGGCAATGCAATGAAAACAGATATTCTGAGGCAAGGGGGGACCAGGTCAAGTGCTGATAGAATGTGGAGCAAATGCCAGAAGCAGAATGGACCAATGTCTTCTTTCCTGGAATGATTTAGCAATTGGCTTATTCATGGATTTTGAATTATGCCTTTTTTTTTCTTGAAGGCCCCATACTTTTTGGGCTTATCTCCTGATTTCCTCAGACTTTTTTTTTTGCATTTAGTTTCACTTTTGGATTTCCCCCCTGCCCCCTCATTTTGCTGAATTGTTTTTTTAAACCCCATCTTTTTCTGGAAGCTGATTCTGAGTCGTCTTTTTCCTCATATGTAATATGCCTGTCTGTTTTCTCTGTTCCACCCACCGCCAGCCAGCTTTTTGATAATTGAACTGTCCACACTGTTCAATCATTCCCTCTCCTCCCCCCCTGAAGAAATATTTTTTAACTTTTTAAAGCAATAAGATATTGCTATATTAATATTCCATTATAATAATGGGTTAAGCAATTTCTCTGAATTCCCATCTTTCATTAAACACAACAGCAACAATTAAAAAAACAAAACAATAAGACTCTGTCTCCGACCCTCTTAAGGAAATAAAAGGGAAAAGCCACTATTTATGTTTGGATAGGGGCTAGAGACTTACCGTATTTTTTGGACCATAAGACGCAGTTTTTCTTCCAAAAAAAGTGAGGGGAAAAGTGTGTGCGTCTTATGGACCGAATACTGAGCCCCAGGGTTCAGAATATTTTTTTCCCTGTTTTCCTCCTCTAAAAACTAGGTGCGTCTTATGGTCAGGTGCGTCTTATGGTCCGAAAAATACAATGAAAGCTGGGAATTCAGAGGACTTCTTTAGCCCATCATTACAATGGTATATTGTTATATGTTACTTGAGGCACTTTTTGAGATATGACCATAATATCAAGACATGGTGCTGTGATATCAAGGTGGGTGCTGTGATGCCACCAATGATTCCACCAATGAAAACAGAACCCTTGAAAATACTGATGTGAAAGAACCATGCCCATGCCAATTCCACTGCTTGTGGATTGACTGCCAAGAAAATCCCCCTTCATTAGTATGGAGCTCCTTAAATAAACTGGGCAGAAGACCTCTGGCACAAAGCACGAACCAGAACCAGAACTTGCTTTGTGGAGTGGAGCATTGGAAGGGTTAGATTGGGGGAGGGGAGGGATCACAGAAGCACAGAAGAGATTGGGGGAGGGGAGGGATCACAGAAGCGTATAATGCTACAGAGTCTACCCCTCAAAGCAGCCATTTCCTCCAGGGGAACTGATGTCTGTAGTCTGGAAATAGATGCCATTCTGGGTGGTCTCTGGGTCCTACCAAGAGGATGGCAACCATAGGGTTTATGCATATAGAGGATGCCACACAAGGACTGAGCTGGGTAACAAAATACCTCCTTAATCCCCGGGGCCTGTTACTCACCTGATGTGAGGTGTAACTATGCTAACACCAATTCCTCCTCTAAGCTGTTGAGACCTTTGAGCAAAAATTCTACTTTGTGAGTTACTGGCATTAAAGTTGTGAGCAAGCGATTGGGCTACAGCATAGATTAGTTTTCTCTGGAGCCCTCCTTCCTGAGGTAAGGCAAAAATGTGTGAGCTGGAGGCTGAAAAACTGTGAGCTAGCTCACACTAACTCAGCTTAGAGGGAACACTGGATAACACCCAATCACTGTCCCACACATCAGTCAAAGGGGTCTACCACAAAACTGTACTCCAGCCAAAGATGGGTGAACTGGATTCTCTAACTTCCATTTCTATTTCAGCTCCCCAGAGCAGCAAAGGAAAGTTAAGTGAGAGAATGAATTGCAATATATTAACCTTGTTGCCAAGCTACACAACCCAAACAACCATTCCATCTCCATACCACAGAGTATCATTGCTGACTGATCTTTTGGTGACTTTCTTCAACCACATTGTTGTAAATAACATAAAAAAGTGTTAGCCTTTTTGGGCAAATGAACTGATGGAATTAGTGTGCTCAGAACTTCATGATGAATTATGACTGCTAGGCAAATACACATATTCTATCAACAGCACTTCATTCAAGTAGAGCCAGGCAGCAGTTCATCCCATTAAAAAAAAGTTTGCGGCCCCGTTCAAATAAATTCTGGATAGCTTTGGTAGATGAGTTTCATTCTGCTACTTTTCCCCTGGTGAAAGAGGGAAATCAACTTCCCTCTACGGTCAAGGTCAGGTCAGGTTAGCCCATTAAACTCAACAGATAATGGTTCAAACTGACACAGCAGATGTACTCAAAGCCATCCCGGCTTAACCTGCTTAGAGGTGTGATCCTTTCATTGTTATTCAGGCAACCTGTCCATTTTTTTATGCATGCAAGGAAATCCATTAAAATAGGTGAAGGCAAGAAAAAACAATCATGAGATAAAGTAATCTAGTACAAATCCCCAGAATTTCATTCCAGTTACATTCTGGGGACACCACTTGTACTTAGCAGTCCAGTGAAGTGAAGAGAAAAGTTTTAACAAAACATGTTTATTTTTCTCAGCATTTCTACGGAAAACTCCTCTATAATTATCAACATTCTTGTAGTTACTTCTCAGAATCCCTATGGTATCTAAATGGTCACCGGGGGGTGGGGGGTGGCAGATGATACTAGAAATACAACCTTTCAAATTCCAAGTTGATAGAAGTGTTAGGGACAGATAGGATTCTGTCAATCTGATCTATGATATGTGAAATTATATTCAGGAGGTCATGCATGTCAGATAGTTTTGAACTGGAATTACTTCAGTATTCACATGATAAGACAGGACTCTTTAATGGGATGAACCAATTCCAGAATGGCATCATTCGTGGTGTTGTTTTTAGTGCTGATGGATCTATCCACGTGTAAAGTCCATAATGCAAAATGCACCATGAGTGAACCCCTCTCAAGTCTTCACACATATTATCAAGAAGGAGATCTCATCATTGGGGGAATTACTTCTCTTATCGATGTTGTTTCAGAAATGATAGATTTCAGCAAACTACTCAGCTATAAGGGATATAATATACCCTTGTAAGGAAGGTTTGTTTCACCTTATACATATTATCTGTGTATTTCATGACAATAGCTGATAAATTGTTCATCTAGGAATGCAAAGATTAATTTGGATTTCTCTCTTAATTTGCCAGCCATCCTGTTTCCATTCCATGCTTCTTTAGGGAAGAGAGGGACACTGAGTATTGTTCACTGTGTTTCTATATGGAAAACACTAACTTAATAATTTCCAAGTTCTTTCATAATAGAAAACTTAGTATTTATCAAAAGAGACCCACTATGCAGATGTGGGTGATAATGGAATTTGAATAGATTGGATATAGTGCTTGAATCTAGATGTTCACACCCTCACACTCCTATATAGCTCATTGGATAGGCCAGAAATCTTTGATAATTCCAATTTGGAGTTCAAGGACAATGGTTGTGAAGACACTCCTATTTTAAAGAATGGTTCAATTTCTGTGGGACATAGACACTTAATTACATTACAGAGTCTAAGAGCACTGCCTCTCTTGAGGGTTATTAAAATATTAGCGAATCACCTGAAATTTGCAGAAACAATCTCTGGATTAGAGAGAGATGAAATTTCAAATGGGATAGAGTTGATAGATTCTGAATACCACTTGAACCAATCTGTAGCACTAATTCCTTAGACAATATTTCTGTTAACTTATGAATAATTGAGCATCACACACAATAATATTATATCAATTTTGCTTAGTTGCATTCTGATTCTTCTCTTTTTTTATAAATCTTTTTATTCGGTTTTACAGTACTATCACACCATTCAACAATCTTCGATACACTACTTGAAACAGAATGTTGTTTCCATTAACATTCTCCAACTTCATATTCAATCAACATATTACAACTCTCAAAATGTCTAATTCAAGTTAAACAGTGTTCTTACACTTATATCCTTTTTATTATCTCTCTTAAGACTAGCCTAACTCTCATTGGTATTTATTTCCCCTATCTTCAGCCATTTATATATTAGTCCCCATTTTCCCCAATACTCTTCCTCAGGTTTCTGTTTTAATTCCATATTTACTCTATCTATTTCAGCTATTTCCAAGATCTTATTTTTTAATTCTTTTATTGAGGGCATTCTGATTCTTCTCATAGTGTATGGCCTAGTTAATATCAACAGATCTTGGCTGTGACATTTGCTGTGAAGGAAATCAATGAAAACCTGCAAATCTTACTGAATGCCATTCTGGGCTTCCAAATCTACAAAAACCTACTTCAGTGTAAAACAGGAATATCATATCATGATAGAACTTCTCTGTACAAAAAACAGATGCATCCCCAACTCCCCCTCCCCCCGGTAATTAGATTACAGAGTCTCACAGTTCTGACTCTCCGGTGGGATATTGAAAAATCAGATGATCATCTAAAATACACAGAAATAATCTCTGGAATGAGAGCTGGATTGAATTTCTCATGGAATGGAGTGGAGGGAATCCCATTATAACCTGGGCCCCATCCATGGTGTGGTAGTCAATATTTCTAGTCAGATATGAGTATTTAAGCCTGGGGAACCATAATATTACATCAATTCTGCTTAGTTTCTTGCTGATTCTTGTTGTAGTGTACTGACTAATCATTATCAACATGTGTTGGCTATGGCATTTCCTTTGAAGGAAATCAATGAAAACTTCCAGATCTTACCCAATGTCACCTTGGGCTTCCACATCTGGAACAGCTACTTCAAAGCAAGAGAGACCTATCATGCCACAGTAGAACTTCTTTCGACAAAGAACAGATTTGTCCCCAACTACAAGTGTGACTTCCAGAACAATCTGATAGCAGTCATTGGAGGACTTGAAGCTGAAACTTCCCTCTACATAGCAAATGTGTTAGCTCTCTACAGTATTGTGCAGGTAGGCTGGGTATGCAGAATATGAACATCCACATCACATTTTGTATAGTTACATGATTGAATGATCCTCCATACAAAATATTTTACAGAGTATTTTTATGTTTTAAAAAAAGCAAATTTAAGAGTAGAACACAGGGAAAGACCCAGAAGTCTTAAAAGGAAGAATCATTGGTTCTAAACACACACATGTCTTAGATTCAGAAATAGGGCTTTTCAATTCAAATTCATCTAGATCGGAAGCTGTGATCATTTTAAATTTGTCCCTGCACTTCTGGTCTAATTTGTTGCTACGGGTTAACTACATTTATGACACTCACTAGAAACTTTATGAGAGTAGAACCTGTCATAGAAATGAAGATCAGCATCAGATGTATTCATCTAGCCCCCTCTCATGCTTTTCACATTCCAAGCAAATGAACCCATTTTCATTTCATCTCCATAAACAGGCACAAATTGAAGCATAAATCTGTCTTTGATTGAAAAAAACAAAACAAAACAAAAACAAAACTCAACTGGAAAGTGTGAACTTCTCTGTAGACTATGGATTCCTTCCCAAAGGGAAGTGGTATTTTGAAATTCTTTTCAAACTCATTTTCTACATTTTCCTCTCAATGTTCAATTCCTTTAGCTCACCTATGGCTCTGCTTCAGTAATGAATGAAAAATCATCAGGGCTTTCTGTCTATCAGATGGTGCCAAATGAAGTCAAGCAATACAAGGGGATTCTCCAATTAATTCTGCATTTCAGGTGGATGTGGATTGGGCTCATTGTTGTGGATGATGAACGTGGAGAAAGATTTCAGCAAGCCCTGCATCCTCTGTTTTTTCAAAATGGCATCTGTTTGGCCTTCACAGAAAAAATCCTACAGGTGACAAGCATAGATTATTATTTTACCATGATCCAAGAAGAATTGGAAAAATTTGATGTTGTAATGGAGAGTAAAGCCAATGCAGTTGTCCTTTATGGAGACAGTGAGTCTGTCTCATACATGAGATGGTCTCAAAAATTCTCAGAGACGGAATTCACGACAGCAACGCTTAAAGGGAAAATATATATTATGACCATTCAGATGGATTTTGTGTCCTATTATTATCAAAGAAATTGGGACAAACTAGTCCTTCATGGTGCTATATCCTTCATAGTTCACACGAATCAACCACCAGGATTCCAGCAATTTCTTAAGAGCAGAAAGCCTCTTTGGACGGAAGGAGATGGCTTCATCAGGGATTTCTGGGAGCAGGCATTCCTCTGTCATTTCTCAGATTCACCACTGGAGAAAGAGTTTGATAAGAACTGCACAGGAGAAGAGCAGCTGGAGAGCCTTCCTGCAGATATTTTTGAAATGAGTATGACTGGCCCCAGCTACAGTATCTACAATGCTGTCTATGCTGTTGCACATGCTTTACATGCCTTGCATTCATCCTGTAATGGACACCGAAGGATGATGGAAAGAAAGAAATGTAACCTCTTCAGTCAACCATCATGGCAGGTAAATATCTTAGGTAGAAAGAAAACCATGATTCTGAGGACTGGAAGAAGATGTAATCTGTACAGCATACTATCTTTCCAGAAATCATTCATAAGTTCATTTACTTCACTCCTTTGCACATCCATCCAACTAAAAATGACAAAACTCTTCATGCTTCAGCCTTGTTCATCATTTGCTCCACAGTTTACTGTAATAATGAAAGCAAACATAGAGTGGCAATAAGACATGTAGTTGATATAAGTTGGTATTTCGAATATGATGCTCAAATGGTATAGGCACTCATGTGTGTTTCCAAGGAGTGTGATTTTTTTTTACATTTGAGTTAGAGAACCGTTTAGAGAGAGGTGACTGATAATAAAAATAATAATGATAAAAGAGAAAAGGGGGCCTATATAAAAATCATGTGGGAAAGAAGGTGTGGTAAGAAGGGGAATTCAGTAAGACTGAATAAAAAAGTGGTTGCATCAGACTCTATATCTGAATCATTCTTCCTTAAGAAATGTATTTAATCTTCTGCCACCATCCCAGGTCTCAGATCTTCAAGGCCCCTCTCTCTTCCTTTCTCCTTGAGCAGCCTCCTTCTCTTGGGGTGCCACCAATTAATCATGAAGAATATCTCTTGTATTGTGGTATTTTTATTTGGGTTATGCTTAAAGGGTCTTCCTTGCTTTCACATTTCTCAGTTCGGTCATCTTAGCTACCCCCCCCCCCGGCAGTCAGAAGAAAGACACAGACACAGGATTGGGTTTATCTAAGGGCATTTTATTAACTCTTTACACCTTTTGTGGCAAGGGCAAACCCCAAATGAAAAATTGGTCTAGGGCAGGTGTCGCCCTGGACCACCTCCTTGCCATGTATTGAGCAATCCACCTTTGCCCTGGATGTGAGTCATCCTTCTGTCTCACTACTGGCTGGCATGGAAAATGGGGTGCTGCCCTGGAGCTCCCCTCTCAAGCCACAAAATTTAGAGATGAGGAACCTAGCAAGCGTGGTCCCAAAGGCAATCCTCATTCCCTGCACTGGACTGCAAAGCCCAAATGCTGAGCCTGATGGACCCCTTGACCCCTACCAGGTAAGGTGCCATACGATGTTCACTGGATCTGCTTTTCCATTTCTCACACTAACCTTCCACCACCAAGTTCAAGCCTCTGCTTAGGACCTTGTGCCCAGCGAGCAGTCTAAAGCCACCCACTGCCCTTGCCACAAGTCTACCAGGACGGGGTAAGAATTGACCCAACCCATCTGCCATTGCATACCTCAGATCCTGGTTCACCCTCTGGTCAGCCCTGTCCAAATATCTCGGGTTCCCCCATGCCATGCCACTCTCGACATGGCAATAAAGCAGACACCACCATCTGCACACCAGGCCAAATGCTCCCGCTGAACTCCAAGTCAGCCCTTGACTAAATTACAAGGGCCTTTCCTTTCATAAGGCTGAGATCATTTCCAGATTACTGAACTGCACATTAAACCACCCACTCCTGCTGAGCTCCAGGTCAGCCTTGGCCTGAATGACCAGGGCCTTCCCTTTCACAAGTCCAAGAATTGTTTCCAGACCACATGATCTACATACCAGGCCACCCGCTCTGCTGAGCTCCAGATCAGCCTTTTCCTGAATCACCAAGGCCTTCCCTTTCACAAGGCTGAGATCCTTTCCACCCCAGTGGATCGACAGTAGCTGATGCAGAGGGCCCCATCTGCACAGGCCACATACCCAGCTACAGTATCCACAATGCTGTCTATGTTGCTCCACATTTTTTACGTACCCTGAATTCATCCTGTTACGGACACAGAAGAATGATGGAGACAAAGAAATGTCACTTCAGTCAGCCCATTGTGACACACAGATATTTTCCTTAGAAAGACTTGGTGCTGGAATAGGATGCTATCTGTGCAGTAAACTTTCTCTTCGGAAATCATTTGTGAATTTATCTTCTTCACTCATCTACCCACCCACCCAGCTAAAAATGCCACCATTCTTCATGCTTCAGCCTTGTTCACCCCAGGGCAAATGTGGATACCAAGATCAACCTACCCAAATTTAACACGTTAAGAAATTAGTGCATTTTGAAATATTAGTGGAATGACCAAAGATCAAAACAAAGTGATTCAAATGCATTCCTCTAACACTGCAGGGATTTACAGTGCCAGTAAGTTGTAGCTGACTTGTGGAAACCCTGCAGTGTTTTTAAGGAAAGAGATAGTAAGAGGTTGTTTGCCATTTGCATAGTGACCCTGGACTTCCTTGGTAGTCTCCCATATAAGTAGAAATTAGGGTTGACCCTGCTTAGCTTTTGAGATCTGAGAAGATCAATCTAGCCTGGGCCATTCATACTGTAGGCATCCTATAATGTGGAGAGAACAGAACAGGACATTTATTCTTAGAGTAACAAGTTTCAGAAATGATCCATTACCTTGGAGACCAGTTTGGTGTATTGGCTAAGTGCATGGACTCTAATCTGGGAGAACTGGGTTTGATTCCCCACTCCTCCACTTGCAACTGCTGGATGACCTTCCGCAAGCCATCGTTCTGGCACAGCTGTTCTTGAAAAAGAGCAGTTTCTGTCAGAGCTCTCCCAGCCCCACCTACTTCACAGGGTGTCTGTTGTGGGCAGGGGAAGGAGTTTGTCAGCCGCTCTGAGACTCCGAGTGAAGGGAGGGGTATAAATCCTATCTCCTTTTCCTCCATCTCCTCCTCCTCCTGAAGGGAGGGGTATAAATCCTATCTCCTTTTCCTCCTTCTCCTCCTCCTTCTTCTTGTCTTCATTTAGGTCCCCCCCCCTTTTGTTCATGTATGGTCATGCCGCCATTGTGATGGATCTCTACTGTGAGATAGCTTCTAGAAGGAGGAAAGCTGGATAAGAGAGTACAGAGATAGAATAAAGCTTCTTTGTTGTGTCCAGGGGGTTGAAAATCTTTGCATGGCACAGCCCTTGGGGGTCATTTTTCTTTTCCCATCCAAAGAGGAATATTTGCTCTGTCCCTTTTGGTCTCCCAAGCTGTGCTGCTTTAGCATGACTTTTATATCCTTTGTTCTTCCTGAGCTAGGACCATCTGCCTGTCTGTGGAGGTGGATGGCTCTGGTGCTGGGAGATGCATCATACCTACCCCACTTTCAACTTGTGTACTTATTAGGTTGTAAAAGGAGTCCTGTACCCTCTGAAGAATCAATTATTGTCAGCTTTGATGTAAATTCTGGGCCATAAAGCATTTCTTAATAATCATTATTTGAAGAATCATTAAGAAGAGGATTCTAGTTTTCATCTTACTATTTGTGGGACCTATTCTATCAAAGTCTTTGTATCAAATTTGTATTTTCTGTGTTTCACACTTCCATGCATCTCACTGAAGATTCCATGCTCTTGAGAAAGAACCCAATGTTGAGAGTCTATTTCTTTTAAATTTCCTGACACCTTGGTGAGCAACAAAAAACTACAGCTAGGAGATACATTTCCTTCTGAAATAAATACGTACAAAAAAAGAAAGAAGAAAATCTGAATGTGTGCAATGTCAACAATAATCATAAAAAAGAATAAAAAGGAAAAAAATATTTTAAAAACTCAGGCCATGCCGTTTCATAAATTTCCTTTTAAAAATTCCACTAAGAAGTAATTATTAACAAAGGCTGTTCCTTTCCAGTGAACAGGTGAGCTCAGTTTTTGTTTCCCTTTTCAATCTAGCTTCACCACTTCTTGAAAAGGGCTTCATTTAATAACAGCGCTGGGGACAATATTTCATTTGACGCTAGTGGAGAGATAGCAACAGGGTATGATATCATCAACTGGCTTGCTTTCCCAAATCAGTCTGTTTTTAAAGTCAAAATTGGAGAGGTTCATCCAGAAGCTCCTGCAGAACTAATGCTTACTATTAATGAAGATTCCATTACATGGAACAGCTGGTTTAACCAGGTAAGATTGATCTACACAATCTGGAGAAGCCTCCATTGAAGAATACATGCTAAAATGCACTGTGGTTCTCCATTCCCTTTTTTTAAAAAAAATGAGAAATGTGTTGAGTACAAAGACTGATTTGAAACCACACAACAGAAGGAAGAGCCACTGTGGGCTGATTCAGAGCAGGCAGGAAAAGTTCATGTCAACTTTTTAAAAAGAGTAAGTAGCTTCTTAATGGGGCCTGTTGTTCTCCAGCTATTTACAACTCATGTAATTCTTCTTCATTTTCATACATGAGAAAACCCTGCTGGAGTAATTAAACTTGGTAGTAAATGTCTCAAGCTTACTGCACACCACAGGTGTGAAGTGAAAATCTTGGCCTATTAACATTAATAATTTGGAGAAACACAACATCTTTTTTAGATCCATTACAGGCTGATTTTCCGTTTTCCTCTCTCATTTATACCTTAGACACAGCCCCTTTCTGTCTGCAGTGAAAGTTGCCATCCAGGTCACAGGAAGGAAATGAAGGAGGGGGAACCATTCTGCTGCTATGACTGCAGACCATGCCCAGAAGGGAAGATTTCTGACCAGAAGGGTAAGAGATCTGCAGCCCAGTCCTAAAGAGGATTGCACCCCTCAATGCTGAGATGAAAGCTGGTATAGTTCAGTGGGTACAGTATAGGAGTAGGATTTGGGAGAAATAGTTTCAAATCCCTACTCTTCAATAGAAGCTTGCGGGATGACCCTGGACTGGGGAAACATTCCAAACCACACCTGCCTAACAAGATTGTGCTGGGGATAAAATGGAAGACAGGAGAACATTGTCGGCTGCTTTGGGTCCCCTCACCATAAAATCAACAGCTAGGCTAAACCTCTGGACCAAGAAACATGAAATTCAAGGAGAGCACTCCTACCATGGGAAAGATGCTCACTAAGAAGGGATTTTTAAAAGAAATTCTACCCCTAAGAGAGTCAAAAGGGGTCAAATGTGCTCCCCCCATTGCTTCCTATGTGGCTGCCAGGTTGCTGCCTCCTTGCCCCCCCCCCAACCTCTGATTGGTTAGCAGAGCTCAGTGTTCTGAGGTTTAAAAAAGACAGTTACAGGAGACTGCAGGGAGCTAATGACAGTTGAGGAAATCAGGAATGGCCAACCGCCTGTGAGGTGCAGAAACGCTGCTGGCCCAGTCTTCCCAATGGCTTCAAACTTGCTCCCCCCACCTCCTACACGTGATAGGCAGCTGCTTGTCAGATGCAGGAGAGGGTCAGGGTGCTTAAAGGCATCAGGGAGTTCACCCCAGCAGTAATGCCTTAGCAATCCTGCCAGCCCAGCCTCTACAATGGCTTGCAATACCCCTCCCCCTTCTATACTGTACAGGCAGCTGCCTGTCAGGTGTAGGAGAGGGGGTGAGATGGGAATCACCTTAGTGATGCTGCTGGCCCAGCCTCACCAATGGCTTTAGCCACACTCCCACCCACTATGGAAATATACTCAAAATTTATAGAAAAGTGGTTTCCTTTATTAAGTTATTTTTCTTCTCACAATGTGGGTTCTAGAAAATTGGGTCATATGAACTTGCTTAATATTTGATTGCTCGGATGGTGTTTTGAATATGTATTTATGTCCCACTTTTTAAATGTAACATAAATTAGAAGAAATTTTGTAAAAGGGGGGGATGCCCTCCCCCCCAAATTCAATGCCCAGGCCAAACCCCTGCACCAAGAAACCCAAAATAAGGAGAGTGCATTCCTACTATGATGTCAACCCTCCCATGCAGATTTCTGAGATACATGACTCCTAAGGGAGAAAAAAAGGGTGAAATGTGTTCCCCCAATTGTTTTCCATGTGCCTGGCAGGCTTCTGCCTCCTCTCCTCACCCCCCGATTGGTCAACTGTGTAGTTTAGAGTTCTGAAGTAAAACCTGCCTGCTTGCACCCACCTCTCTCTGATTGCTCAGCTGTGACTCTCAATGTTCTGAGGTAAAAACACAGACTGAAGACAGTTGACCACAGTTACAGTAATCAACGATTCAAGACTCCTGAACAGAAAAGTCAACATGACAATTGAGTTAATGAATGTTCATGGGGAGATAGTAAAGGACCTTTCCAGGAGCCATTTCAATGTGTTCCTCCCTCATGAACCTGAATAAATGTCCACCACATCACCACTCCCTCACACCAGCTCCCCCTCATACCTCTCACCTCTTACTGCCCCCCAAGAAAGCTCCTGGCAAACATTGAGCCAGATGCACCAATGCTACAAAGAGGAGGCAACTTAGGAATGCAGAAAATACATTTGCACATAGTAGTTCTGTGGCGCACTGAGCTGTGCAGGCCAAGTACCAGCAAGATCACCCTGAAGTGCTCAGAACAATATAGTATCCGTATGAGCAAAGCAATCCAGGAACACAAGTAGAGAGGCCATCCCTTTCGTGGAAGGTGGCAGAAGTTGGCTTAACAGATAACTGCTTCTTAAATGGACAGTTCTATGTTGCCTGCTCCAGAGTAAGCTCACCAAGCAGACTGGTGATCCTTGTACCTGAGCCATGTACCTGAGGGCAGAACCCCCAATGTGGTCTTCAGAAAGGTCATAGGGGGGGGGGGAGTATGTATGTCTCACTTCATTTTTTACACCTACAATCTTCTCAATTAGAATTCCTACAACAAATGTTACATTTCAGACTTCACATCATCAGTATTATAACTGGATTTACAGAATTTAAATACCGTAGTGAAGCACAGGCTAGTGTGTGTGTGTGTGTGTGTGTGTGTGTGTGTATGAAAAAGGGAAAGTGTTCCCTTCCTCGAAAGCCAGTCTAATCCAACTCTAGGGGGCAGTACTCGTCTCCATTTCTAAGCCAAAGAGCCAGCATTGTCTGAAGACTTTCCCATGGTCATGTGGCCGGTGTGACTAAACGCTGAGGTGCACAGAACGCTGTTACCTTCCCAAGAAAGTGGTACCTATTTATCTACTTGCAATTTCTTGCTTTCAAACTGCTAGGTTGGCAGGAGCTGGTGCCAGAGACGGGAGCTCAGTCGGTCATGCAGCACTAGGGTCTCAAACTGCTGAACTGCAAACCTTCCAGTCTGCAGCTCAGCGTCTTAACCTCTGAGGCACCACAGCCATATATATATAGTGAATAAGGTTTGAGATGTGTTTATATACAATACGTCAACACTACCACCACATTTTATCCCAATACACACTCATGGTATCTGTGCTGATGAGTGATTGTGAAATGTAACAGAATGAGTAAGATTTTCTCCAAGCTGAGTCCCAAGGGAATACGGGAGTCCCAAAGAAATAGGGCCAACATCAGTAGTATTGATTGTATTGGCTGTTTTCAGTGAGCTAAGACCCATACACCTTCCTTTAGCTCTGGTGTGGTGTAACCTTGGGCCAGTTGTGTCCTCTCAGTTTAATATCCCTCCATTAGAAACTACATCAGACATTTGAGATTGAAGACACTTCAAAATATCCCACAATCAAATACATCATCTGCCACAGGAGTGATATATTTTTAATAGGGAACTACAACAAAATAATCTGCCTGCCTTTGGAATTGTCAAGCCCTACACCAACAGAAACTCCTGCAGGTAAGCATTGGTTGCAGAGTGAGATGTGGAGGCATGTTATCCCCACAAAATGATCCACCTGAAGAATGAGATATAGGAATATTTATAGGATACACTGAGGTTGTCTTCCTTCTACCTATTTCTCTTTTACAGACTTGGATGAGTGCATCACTTGCAGAGAACATGAATATTCGAACCTGGGACAAAATCAATGCATTCCGAAAGATGTGACTTTTTTGTCTTACAAAGAGCCACTGGGGATCACTTTTGTGACTTTTGTCCTTTTTCCTGTTCCCTTTTCCAAGCAGCCCTTTGTTTAGCATGGTTGGCAACTTCTCCCCCATTTCCGGATGTTGATATGCACTCAGAGACTGACACCATTGTACTGGAATGCAATGTGGGGTCTGTCCCCATGTTTTACTGTGTCCTGGGCTACATGGGCTTATTGGCCATTGTTAGCTTTGTGGTGGCTTTCTTGGTCAGAAAGTTACCTGACAGTTTTAATGAAGCTAAATTTATCACTTTCAGTCTATTGATCTTTTGCAGTGTTTGGATGTCTTTTGTTCCCACCTACCTGAGCACCAAGGGAAAATCCATGGTGGCCGTGGAGATCTTCTCCATCTTAGCCTCCAGTGTTGGCCTTCTGGGTAGCATCTTTGCCCCCAAATGCTATATTATTATGCTAAGGCCTGAGCTGAACAACAGGGAACATCTGATAGGAAGAAAAGGGAAATAATGGAAATTACTAATATGAAGGACTACAGGTTGACATGTAGTTTAGGCTCCCACTCTCCCTGAGGGAAACCAATGGAAGCTGGCAGAATGTTGATGCAAGGCTGACAGCCAAACAGCCATTAGTTCAGGGAGAGTCAAAGCTTGGTGATGGAAGATGTAGTAATCTTGAGGCAGACTGTTCAGGAGAATAGGAGTGCAGGAGAATAGCTGACTGCTGCTAACTGAAGGTCATCTTGTAACAAAGAATCTCAAAGAGCTGAATATAGCTATTGTTCAAAAGATCAAATGTGGAGAAACTTTGTAATCATTTCCCTGATTCACTCCAATGTTGTATTTAAGCCATAAATAAAATTAACTTCTTGTTTGCTTAAACCTGTGGCCTTGAGGTATATGGTCTCAGGAAATAATGTAGTTTGGTGTAGTTGATAAGTGTGTGGATTCCAATTTGGGAAGACCAGGTTTGATTCCCCACTCCTCCACTTGCACCTGCTGGGCAAGCCATAGTTTTGGCACAGCTGTTCTTGAAAAGAGCAGTTTCTGTCAGAGCAGTTGCCTGAATCTAAATTGCATTTTCCCTGAAAAAGACCTCAGTGTGGTTTTCAGAGAATAGTTCAAACAAATCAAGTGATTCAATCAATACACATACCATAACAGCCAAAAGAAAACAAAAAGGAAGCCTTCTAAAAAATGACCAGCTCAATCTGAAATAAAGATTCAAGCTTCTTTATCCACTAACTTCAGGCAAGTGAGAAGGGTGTTACTGCTTAGATTTCTATTGCCATTGTCCTCAAATAAATTGTTCAATTGAAATTAGCCCCACCTTCTGAAGACCAAGATTTTTTTTCTCTAACTGACCCTGGAAGGCTGTTCCATAACAAAGGGGCAGTCAAAGTGGAAGTCAAAATCAAAACCAGAAGCAGTAGGTTTGTCAAATTTCCAAGGAGATAGAGGGGGGCATAGAAATACACAGGTTGCCAACTCAAAGATTTTGTAACAGCTGTCATGTAGAGAATATTTGGACTTGATGAATGACAAGCCAGCACGAACCAGTTGGACGAATTGCAATTTCTATGTTGTCTTCTATAGCAGCACCATGTAATGAATTTTTCATTGCTCTAGTGTAGTCTTGGGTTATTATAACATGGACTAGGGTAGCTTGGTAAACTGTGTCCAAAAGCAAAGATAAATGGACTGGTGTCAGATCATCAAGCAAAATTTTGTGGCTGAGCTGAGAATCCAATCTGAGTCCCTATATCATATTCAGATATCCTAAATACTATACCATATCGGCTATGATAGTTCCACAAATTTGTTTCCTCTTTTAAAATATATAGAGAGCTGTGACATCTTCAGACTCTGGGCCCTCTCTCTCAGTCACAGAGAAACCACCAGACAGGGGAGTCTAATCCCCTTTTGCAATAACTCCTCACTCAGACAGAGCTCAGAGCTTTGGGGGTTGGGACTTGAACACTGCTACATTCTCTCACTTACACCATTTCTTCCTGTACTAATCTATTTAGAAGTAGAATAAGATCTTCAAAGAAGAAGAGGAGGAGGAGGAGGAGATTGGATTTGTACCCCACCCTTCACTATCCAAAAGAGTCTCAGAGCAGCTTACGAACTCCTTTCCCTTCCCCTCGACACCCTTTGAGGTAGGTGGGGCTGAGAGAGCTCTGACAGAAACTGCTCTATTTCAAGAACAGCTCCTAAAGAACTATGGCTTGCCCAAGGTCATTCAGGAGGTGCAAGTGGAGGAGTGGGGAATCAAACCCGGTTCTCCCAGATTAGAGTCCATGTTCTTAACCATTACACCAAACTGGCAAAAGCTTCAGCCCCCTTGGTTCCAATTAAATCTACTGGAATCGAGACACTCACATGACTGAATGTTAGCGACAACTCAATTCTGTTTGCAATTTCATGAAATCTTGCTGGTTGGCATTTAAAAATGGGAAATTTGGAATTTCTTAATACTCTCCAAAGGGTGCATATCATTCTTTTGCAAAAAACAAACAAACCCTGGCTTAAAGATTACCTAATAGTATCTAGTTTTTTTTCTAATTCAGTCCCAGCAGTTCAAAGTCGTAAATATGGCCAGCACTCTGCAGGTTTAGCTCTTCTCATAGCCTTGAAAATTAGAGCAGAAATCATTTGGTTAGACCCCTGCCTCCATTTTCTATGGCAGCTCATATAAACTCATTAACAATAATGTGATAAACATTATTTTTATTCCTCCAGTATGGACACAACAAGAAACAAAGCAAAATTGGTCTGACCATACAGGGATAAGTTATCCAGAAGCTCATATTTTAATAGGGGATAATTTGAATGTGAGAATAGGTCCCTTGAATGAAGTTCTTCAGAAATCTAAGCTACAGAATATATATCCGCTAAATATCACCGATTTTATGTCTGAATGTAAAGCTTGTGATTATGCTTTAATTGGTCTTACAAAATTCTTATATGAGATCTGGAAATAGTTAATGGTTACACAGATTTGGATGAGACTACAGAGTACATCTATAGTTCAATGACAGGTAGCCGTGTGGTTGATCATCTTATCTAACCAGCTTACTAAGAAAGCAGTTCAGTTTTCAGTAGACAATATACTGATTTAAGATCATCTGCCTCTTTTCTTAGAAATAAGAATGAATGGTTTTCATACAGTAGATAACTGGACAACATACTTCCCCAACTTTTCTACTTCATGTGATGTCATAGTCAACACCATTGTATGTGGAGCCTTATTGAAACTCCACAATTATCTCAAATTGTTAGGCATCACCCCAATTTTGCCATAATTGGTAACTGTGTCAGAAAGATTTAAATAATAGCTCTGATCATTTAAAGCTAAAGGTGGGGACTGTGGATTGTGCCAGTTTCGTGGTTCTCATATTAGCCTTTATTAGATCAATTTGGGGTTCTTGGAGGAAGGACAGCTTGACCAGACCATAGCAGCTGTTACAGAGATGAAAATCAACTGATTATTCTCTGTCAAGATTAGCACTTGAGATGGAAGTGGAAGTTATTTGGCTGCTGTTCTTTCTCTGGATACTGCCGCTGCCATCCTCTCGTTGCAGGCGACTCAGGGGTATATGTATTATGCCTGATGTCTTCTGGATCCCATATGGGTATTCCAAGATAGGTGATGCAGCCATTGGAGCGATTGCTACTCAGTTTGACTGCCTATTTGATCAAACATCATTCAGTGAACATCCCAGAACAAAATTTGTAGACGAGCTTGTGTAAGGGATATTTTTTTTCCTCTGATAATGCCAGGAAGTAAATACAAGACATAATGAGATAAATAAAACTGGATTCTATGGAGCCAGACCACTGCTCCATCTAGATGAATCTTATCTACTTTGAGTAGTTCTGACTTTGCATGGTCTTCTGGGTGACTTTTCCCAACTTTGAGATCTTTTTTGAGCTGGGAATGCCATTAATGGATTATTGGGCCTTCTAAATTCCATCTCAGGTTTAGAAATACCCACCATGACATTCATTTTTTTGAAAAGACATTTAGTTTTATTAAAATTGCATGTGCACACCTTTTTACATGACAGCTTTTAAAAAATTGCTTTTCCCTAACTCTTTTCTGCCATATCCTTTTTCATTAATACATTCCCTCCTTCTGTACTTTAATCTACTTCCAGCTCGAGGTTTAGTTCAAAAACATCAACGCTTCTGTTTTCTACTGTTATTCATGACTGTGTATTTCCTCTCTTTATCAAATTTCAAATACTGTGAAACTATTTTACATTTACGTACTTTGACTCCCAAATGGTTTGCATGTATTTTAAATAGTGTGGATTTCTATATCTGATTGTTTGAACCTCTTAATGTATTCTTCATTCTTGCACTGTCAAAGATTGATTCCAATGTGTTCAATATGATTTTTTTTAAAATCATATGTTCCCTGTTGTATTTGAAGTCATTGCTTTGTTGCAATTAATGATAGAGGTTTCAGTAACAGCAGGAGACATTCCAGCTAGATTTATTTACTGGTTATCTATTTATCGAGAAAATGTGTAGGCTGACTCTCTAGACCTTCTCAAGGCAGCTGAAAGTTAAAAGAATTTTAACAAAAGCATTTTAAAATTATGGTACAATCCACTAAAAATCCCTTCTAAAACCACTGACATTAGGATGCTAAAGCTCATTTAGGATTGTACTCTTCGACCCCAAAGACCCATTTATTTAAATAGAGAAAACGAGCTTTGCCATTTCATCACGATAAAGGACACGCTCAACTAAGGCTAGTTCACATTGATGCATTTTATATGTAAACTGATGGGTGATTAATCAGACTTTAACAATACAATTGATAACTTGTGGGAGTCTGCTGAAACATTTTGAAAGAAAGAAACCAATACATGCAGCATACTGGAGTGATCAACAAGCAAGGAAGGACTGTGCTATTAAAAATAAATCATTACCTATTTTTCCCGCATATATCCATATGAATTTAAAGAAATATAAACCTCAAGTCTCCTAACATATGTATAGCCTTTATGATGTATATTACTGCATGCTCTCATACAGATTGTTCATAAAGGGTTAAATTTGTGTTATACATAATGTAACTCTTTCTTTAGTGCAAGGCCAAAAAACTACCAGCATGTACTGTCCTTGGTATTTGCTGTGAAGGAAATCAATAAGAATCATGAGATCTTACCAAATGTCAGCCTGGGGTTCCACATCTATGACAGTTACTTGAATGCAAGGATGACTCATCACAATACCCTGAAACTTCTATCTACCCAGAAAAGGATTGTTCCCAACTTCAACTGTAACAACCAAATGAATCTGGTAGCTGTTATTGGGGGACTTGACTCTGAAGTCTCCTTGCAAATGTCTACCATCTTAAGCATCTACAAGACTCCACAGGTAAAATGAGTGGGTGATAAATGAAGCATTTGGAAGTCTAGATTAATATTTGCTCTTTCACTATTTTCTCAGGGAAGATGGGTGTAACAGAGACAAAACTACAAGCTTTGGTCGTTTTTCAAGAAAATATCTATGCTAAGGAAAACAGGTTTTCACAACCCATTACATTGTTGGGCTCTTTTTTGCCATTAAGTAACAGCTGGCTTGTGGCAATGTCATAGGGCTTTCAAGGCAAGAGACATGGAAGGACACATAGCAAACACGGATGTCTATGGTGGTCTGCCATCCAAGTACTAATCAGGGCTGACCCTGCTTAGCTTCTGAAATCTGGCAAGATTGGCCTAGAAAAAGCTTGAGATGCTTCAATTTTTAAGGGCAGCAATAATTTAGAAAGTGTATTTGCATTTTTATGACTCAGGAATTCTGCATAAGTATTTCTACCATACAGATTTGCTGCATCTGTTTCTCTAGTTGGAATAATTTATTGTCAATCATAACCAAACTTTACCCCCAAAAGGAATAAGGTATCTGAAAGCAATGACAGAGTTCTGCATTGGTGGTATTCGGAAGTCACAGCTGACGTATAGTGACCCCAATAGGTTTTTCAAAGCAAGAGATGAACCCTGGACATCTTTGTTGGTCCCCCATCCAAGTACTAACCGTGCCAACCCTGCTTAGCTTCCATGATATCAGACTATCCTGGTCTATCCAGCTCAGGGCTCTCTGCATCTTCTATGATCTGTTTTTAAATTTTAGATTGCCTACTGTATATTTCCTCCAGTGCTGAAAGGTAACACCCAGCTCCTTTCCTTATATCGGATGATCCCCAATGAAACCTTTCAATACAGAGGGATGGTCCGTCTACTTCTGCATTTCCAATGGACATGGGTTGGAATCATTGTGGCAGATGATGATAAAGGAGAACAGTTTGTGAGGACCTTGATACCACTGCTTTCTCAAGAGGGCATCTGTGCAGCTCATATTGAAAGGACACCACCACTGTCTCACGTTTTAGAGACAACTAATGCATTTGAACTGCTCCTGGCCAAGGCTGTTCCATTAAACAATCCCAGACTCCAAGTATTCATAGTAAATGCAGACCCACAGACCACATCATGTTTAAAATGGTTAATATACTTGGGAATATGGCATGGAGTTGTACGGAGCTTTATAAGTAAGGTTTGGGTTATGACAGCCCACTGGGATTTCTCGACACAGACAGTGCATAGGGATTTTGATATACAAATCTTCCATGGGGCCTTGTCATTTGCAATCCACTCAGAACCAGTGCTGGGATTTCAAAACTTCCTTCAGATGCTACATCCAGACTCACCAAACGGAGATGGCTTTATCAGAATCTTCTGGGAACAGGCATTCGGCTGTTCATTTTCGGGTTTTAAAGACAGCAAGGAGAACGAAAGAATCTGCACCGGACAAGAGAAGCTGGAGAGCCTGCCAGGTGCTCTGTTTGAAATGAGCATGACCGGTCAAAGCTACAGTATCTACAATGCAGTCTATGCTGTGGCACATGCTTTACATAAGAAGTACACATCCAGGGCTAAACTCAGCTCCTTGGTGGACAGAAGTAGATTGGATCCTCCAGTTATGCAGCCCTGGCAAGTAAGCTTTAACATCCAAAACAGTTTTTGTGGCATGGCAAATCTAAAGGATAATAAGAATTCAGAGAGTCTACAAACTGGTCAAAATGTGCACACAGGTTTCCTTTAAATCCTCTGTCTTTCACATGTTGATGACTTCAGTTGCCCTTCAGATCCCCCACCTTTTTCAGCCTATGGAAACCTTTGAACCTTTGAGACAGGTAGCGAGTACTACTCCTAAATGGCTGCATCAGAGCCAAATCCAAGATGGCTTGCCCCAGAGGCACAGCCAAGCTCCAAATGGCTTGCACCAATGGTGGAGTCAAACACAATGCCTCCATCTTTACTTTGCACAAAAATAGATGGAGGGGGATAAAAAGAAATGAAGGAAAGTCCAAGCAGGGGAAGAAGGGAGAAAAAGAAGGGTGATAAAGAGAAGGAAAGACTGAAGAGGGAACTGAACCACAAACTTGGGTGATTACCAGTCTTCCTCATGGGCTAATGTGGAAAAACCATTTCATTTGAGTGAGGGCAGCCAAAAACAAGTCATGTCTTACAGCTTCCCCACCCACTTTCAGGAAAGCTTGGTAAGTGCCATGGGAAGTACTAGTGGTCACCATGGTGCCCCCAGAAACTATATTAGGGAACCCTGCTCTGGATGATGCCACCAGCAATGTCCAGATAGTATGGTGTCCTCCACCTTTCTTTCTATCAACAAAACAAGCAGATATGTTTCATCCTGTCAGTTTCTCTCCAGTAATGTATGTAGTCTGAGAGTCCTTCCCATGCCAATCTGATGTATAGGGTTGTCACCACCACCACCCCAATAGGGACATAGGGTCCTACGTCTCCACCTGACATTTCCTGCCACTGTCCAAAGTGCCCCCCGTGTCCCTTTCCCTGGTCCTCCACTGGTTGCCAAGCTCGCTCAGAAGAAAACAGCAATATATGGGAAGGAGACAAGCTCTATTTGTGGACACTGAAAAAGGAATCTAGTGTGAGAGTGTAAGCTACTATCCTTAGAGATGTCTGCTTCAAGTCTCTCTCACACACTCTCTCTCTCTCACACACACACACACTCATTAAGTGATCTGCCAAAAAGTGCAATACTTTGTCCCTTCCATCTACAGTAAGATGTAGACAGAATTTCAGATATATCTTAGATAATAGATCTAAAGTATCTGCTTTTAAAGGGATGTTATTAATGGTAAGGGCCAGTACTGATAAATCATGAAAGAGCTATAATTAGGCTTTTGGATTTTTAAAGATTTTTTTTTTTAAGATAGCATGGTTTAGTTGTTAAGAGTGGTGGACTCTGATCTGGAGAACCAGGATTGATTCCCCACTCCTCCTCCGCATGGAGCCTACAGGGTGACAATGGGCCAGTCACAGTTCTCTCAAAAGTCTCTCAGTCCCACCGTCTCACAGTGTGCCTGTTGTGTGGATAGGAAAGGAAGGAGATTGCAAGCTGCTTTGAGACTCTTTAGGCTAGAGAAAAGTGGGGTATAAAAAACCAACTCTTCTTCCTCCTCCTCCTCTTTTCCCTCTCCCTCTCCTCCCCCCTCCCCCCTCCTCCCTCCCCCTCCCCCCTCCTTCCCCCTCTCCTCCTCCTCCTCCTCCTCCTGAGTGGCTACTTTGAAAGAGGGGAAGGATCACTGTGTGAGAGTATATTTAATCCTTTCTGTGCCTAATCCATGATTTAAAATGCTTCTGCACAACTACAATACACTCTGTGTGAGTAAGAAAGGGTTGTATGGGCACCTTTGATGGTCTTTTTGTGATTCAGGCACCAGTGCAACTTTGAAGGGCCAACATTGCAGGAAATATTTGGGCTCTTGCACTGTTAAGGGGAAAATGTCTCGTCTTTCCTCCTGAGCAGCCATAATTTATTCTATGACTATATTCTCTAGAGCGCAAAAATGTAATGATTGTGCTTGCATATTTAAAGCTATTCATTTTGATACGTTGTAAAACATATACTTGCATCCTTCGCTCTAGCTTAATTCTTTCTTGAGGAGAATCTCATTCAACAACAGTGCTGGAGACAGGGTGTTTCTCAATGAGAATGGTGAATTAGCAGCTGGATTTGATATTATAAACTGGGTTACTTTCCCCAACCAAACCTTTTCTCGAGTGAAAGTAGGAAAGATAGATCCACAGGTTCCACTGGGCAGAGAGTTCACCATTCATGAGGGAGCGAATACATGGCACACCACTTTTGATCAGGTAAGATCCAATTACGGGTTCTAAAATACAATATTGAAGACATATTAGATTCAACAAGCTTTTCTGCTGGTGAAAGGGAAGGAAGAATTCCCTTTGACCACCCACAGATATGATGCTGGGGGTCATGGTGGCTGCTTGGACAAAAGCTATGCTGGTTTGGGAAATTGACAGAGATGCACTCCCCTGTCATTCTATAAAGTGAAAATTGTCAATTAGCAGGGCTATTTTTGGGCAGGAACACACAGGAACGGTGTTCTGGCTGGCTCCCAAGTTGGCCACGCCCAGCAGGAACTCATTAGCATAATAGGCCACACCCAACAGCAGAAACTCATTAGGATTGGCTACCATTAGGGGTGTGTGGCCTAACATGCAAAGGAGTTTCTGCTCCCAAAAAAGCCCTGGGTTTTGTCAACAAACAAGGTAAAGAGAATAAGAAGCAAAAGGTGGGTGTGGCTGGATGACCACACTTCTGGTAACATGGAGGTGTAGCCTAATATGTGAATGAGCTGTGCTGTCAGGGGTATGGACTAATATGCTAATGAGTTCCTGCTGTTGGGTATGGCCTATTATGCTAATGAGTTCCTGCTGGGCTTTTTCTACAAAAAAAGCCCTGTCAATTAGGGTGACCGAGGCCATTTCTGTTCCCAGCCTAATCCTGAATCCAAATTGGAATAGGTCTAGACAGTCTGTCTCCTCCACAAACAGGGAAATTGGGTGACATGGAGTGAGGGGAAAAATTGGCTATGTTCTAATGTTGTCATAGACTAGCAGATGGATGGGTACAATAAGACTTTACTTTCAAAATGCTTTTCTTCTCTTTGAAGCTATTATTTGAAACCCAATTTGAAGCATTTTCCAAAATCAACTGGGTCATTACTTCTTCAATCATGTATACTGCTGCTATATGAGACCATCATGTCTTGGCGTTGGCCCACCTATTTTCCCGGCTGTGTAAACTGGAATTAAATGCATTGCACTGCCCACTTTAAATATTTAAATATTTTAAACTGGTCTTACTATATTATTGATTATTAATTAATAATTATTAACTTAGATTGTTCTGAGCCTGTTCTCGGGAAGGGCAGGATATAAATTGAAATAATAAATAAATACATAAATAAAGTAAGACTCTCTCAGAGAAGCAACTTTTCTTTTAACTTCATGAGGTAATTTAAGGGGAAGACATCAATATAGTTCCTTTTGTTTGTGGCTAGGTCCCACCTCTTGCTGTATGCAATGACAACTGCCATCCCGGTTTCAGCAAGAAAAAGAAGGAAGGGGAGCTATTTTGTTGCTATGACTGTGTTCCATGTCCAGATGGGAAGATTTCACACCGGGAAGGTCGGAATGATAATCCAAGTACTACAATACTACAACACTGTGCAGCATCATGCATTGACTTTATGCCCAATGGTATCTACATACAAAAGCCAAACTGGAAACTTCATGAAATCAACAAAGGAATGTTCAGTTGCAACATGGTCTGATATAGAAATATTCAGAGATGGTTAAACTAGGGATGCCACATGCTTGCTGGAGGCAGAAGATGTCAATGGCACTCCTGGGACAGGATGTTCTAGTTCCCTTCAGTTTGGGCACCGCAACTTCCGGTGTCACTGTGAAGCCAGAGGATAATTTTGAGGCTCCTTTCTTTACTTTTGGATGAGTTATGTCCGCTACAGACAGCCTTAACCCAATTGGAAATAGTATTGGTGGGCTCCTGCATGTAACTAGAAACAGGATCTTCTTATTCCCTTCCTTCTTTACAATGCCACTTCCATAGTCACCCTGAACTTGGTGGCTAATTCTCAAATGCCTGGCTTTGTTTTCTGATCAGCTGTACCTTACAGAGACCACAAGGATTTCCAAAGTGAAAAGCATGGGCTGGGGTGGAGATTATACAGGTCAGGATGTTCTAGTTCTCTTCACATTTGGCAATGTAACTCCCAACACCATCCTGAGGAGTCTCAAGACCATTTTGAGACTCCTGCTTTCATTTTCTGAGGAGTTATGGATGCCACAGCTGAAGAAACAGACAGATGACAAGAGATGACCAGACAGATAGCCAGACCCTTCTATTATTACAGATATTATTACAGATGAGCTATACCTGCCACAGTCCATCATAGCTTCCAGTGAAAAAATGGTGTGGTAAGGGTGTTTCTTGAGAGAACCTGGGCCAGGATGTTCTGATTGCCTTTGTTCTGAGCACAGTATTTGTGTGCTCCTACCTGTAGCATAGTTTGTTGTGGATCACAACAAACTATGGCAGGTCCTAAAGAGATGGGAGTACCAGACCACCTCACATGTCTCTTGAGAAACCTGTATAAGGGCCAAGAAGCGACAGAACCGGATATGGAACAACTGATTGGTTTAGCATAGGAAAAGGAGTACGACAAGGATGTATATTGTCACCTTGTTTATTTAATATATATGCAGAGTACATCATGCGAAATGCTGGCCTGGATGAATCACAAGTGGGAATTAAGATTGCTGGGGAAAAGATCAACAACCTCAGATATGCAGACGATACCACTCTAATGGCAGAAAGTGAAGAGGACCATAAGCGCCTCTTGCTCAGGATAAAAGAGGAGAGCACAAAAGTGGGCTTGAAGCTCAACATCAAAAAAACTAAGTTCATGGCATCCGGCCCCATCACTCCTTGGCAAATAGAAGGGGAAGTCGTGGAAGTAGTGACAGACTTCACGTTCTTGGGATCCCAGATCACCGCAGACTGTGACAGCAGCCATGAAATTAAAAGATGCCTGCTCCTTGGGAGGAAAGTGATGGCTCGCTCTTCCCTTTGGCCCGAACGTACATCTCAATTTCACACTATGTGCTGTGCAGCCACATTTTGCCCCGCAGCTTCGCCCGATTCCCCCACATCTACTCAATCCTCAAAAAACAGGACGGAGTAGACATGGGGAAAATCGGGCAAAGCTGTCGGGCAAATGCGGCCATGTAGCACATAGTGTGAAATTGACACATACAATCGGGGCAAAGGGAAGAACGAGCGCGGAGCAGCAGCTTGTGGGAAATCGGTCACATTCTCTCACCAAGCAGTAGAGGGATGAGAAAAATAAGTGTGTAGGGGGGAATATGGAAACATTAAGTGAAGGAAGACAGAAATGAATGAGAATCATGTGGAAAAGAAAGAGATAAATTAAAAGAGGAAAAGGTTGTTTTATCTTGCTACAACACCCTAACTACTGCTTTGTAAGATCTGGGTGAGTTGGGTGCAAGGAAAGGAAGAAAGGCTAGACTACTGGTGAGAATGACGTGCAGGCTGGAAATCATTGTAGCAGCTATCGGCGTGCTTGCTTGGATGTTAAATCTGTTAAGCAACTTTGCTGCAGTCTTGGAGAAATAGAAATCTAGCTAATCATAGGCTGTGATCACATACACCTTTAGATCTGATGCCTGATGGATGCCTGATGGATCTAAAGGGAGTGATAGGCAGCAAAATCTGGGAAGCATCCCACAGTCATCAGCAACCCATGCTGCTCCACCTCAAAAGCAGAGTTAAAAGACACCCGGGAAAGTCCAGTAATAAACAGGTTCTGATGGCCCATGGACGGAAATTTCCATGTCTGATCACTCAAGCACGCTCTCAAGCCATCGGGATGGTCTGAACAGGCCATCCCGGCTTGGTGCCATCCCCCCCCAATATGAACATCATCACATACTCCATAGGGGGCCCTCAGTGCGGAGGTGTGATTCCTCATTTATGTGCATGGGAAACAAAGAGCCAACCCCCCCGGGCTCACCTGCAGTTGCGTCTGATCACACAGTGATGGGCTGTGCCTGCAGCTACACAGGGAGGTGTGATCTCATAACTGCATGTCAAATTCCTCTGGAGGGAATAGCCTCCCTTCTCCTCCACTTCAACTGGCATGTGTGACCGCAGCCCTAGAGTGCTTTTTGCTATGCTCCGATTTCCCTATGCCCCTAGTGGTTGCAGCCAGAACTGCATTTTAAAAATAAAAAAGACATTCAGCTGTATGCAACATGATGCTGGCTTCAAGGGCCCCCTTCGAGGACTTTCTTCAAGCTGTTCCTGGGGTAGACCAGACCCCCCATCCCACCCTTGGTATCCCACTGCCTTGAGTTCCTACAAAGTAGAAAAGTAGCTAATAAAAGTTTTAGGGGGGAAAGGTATGACTGCATGATCAACACAGCATTGGTTCTATTTTTCAGACATGGATGATTGTTTCCAGTGTCCAGAAGATCAATATCCAAGCGAGCACCGGGATGAATGTCTTCCCAAGATCTATAACTTCCTCTCTTACTCTGAACCTTTGGGGCTCACATTGGCATTTTTGGCTCTGTCTTTTTCTCTGATCACAGCTTTGGTGCTGGGAATTTTCATTAGGCACCAGAACACTCCCATTGTCAAAGCCAACAATCGTGACCTCACTTTTACTCTGCTCATCCTCCTACTGTTCTGTTTCCTCACCTCCTTGTTATTCATTGGATGCCCTCAGACGGTGACCTGTTACTTCCGACAAACAGCTTTTGGCATCATCTTCTCCATGGCGGTATCTTGCATTTTGGTGAAAACCATCCTAGTTCTTCTGGCTTTCATGGCTACCAAGCCAGGGACCAGGATGAGGAAATGGGTGGGGAAAGGGCTGGCAAACTCCATCCTCCTCTTTTGCTCTTTAATACAATTAATTGTTTGTGCTTTGTGGCTCTGTACTTCTCCCCCATTCCCAGATCTTGACACGCATACTCTGGATAAAGAAATCATAGTGGAATGCAATGAAGGGTCAGCCATGATGTTTTACTGTGTTCTGGGCTACTTGGGATTTCTGGCCAGTGTCAGCTTCACGGTGGCTTTCCTAGCAAGGAAATTGCCCGATTCTTTCAATGAAGCCAAGTTTATCACTTTCAGCATGTTGGTCTTTTGCAGTGTTTGGTTGTCATTTATTCCATCGTACCTGAGCACCAAGGGCAAATATATGGTGGCTGTGGAGACCTTCTCCATCTTGGTTTCTGGTGCTGGATTGTTGGGCTTTATCTTTTTACCTAAATGCTACATAATTGTTCTTAGGCCTTGGTTGAACTGCAAGGAGCAACTAATAAGGAAGAATTAGAAACATAGTCCATGATTGGGGTGGTTTCTTTTACATTATCTTTCAACTGTGATGTTTACCTTGAAAGCAAAATGCATAAACACTGTTAAACTGTCCTTCCTCATTCCCCATTTATTTCCCTCTACTGAAGCAGCACTAACAGGGAAGGAAGAAATTCTTCCCTCCTTTATCAAAGAAAGGGGGTTTAAGAACTTCCAGAGTTATCTGAGCCAAGGAGATGCAAGTTTGAATCTCACCTCTTCTGTGGAAGCTTGGTGGGGGACTTTGGAACACTTAGATATTGTCAGCCTACCCTGTCCCACAGGGTTACTTCAAGGATAAACTGGAGGAGAGGAGAATCATGTATACTGGTTTGGGTCCCCATTGGTGAGAATGGAGGGGCTGTAATATTTGTTATACATCAAATGTTGACTGAACTTTGCAAAAGGGATGGGAACTCTTGTTGTTGCTTCATATGATAATGCTGCAGCTCTATGGGTGGGACACAAAACTGCTCATACAACATGCAATGTACCATTACATATCACAAGCATAGAGAACTTTTGGGTTGGTGTGTGGAGCACATGGGCACCCCTCTAGGAATAAATAACACTGAGTGCAACAGTGGGTTGTTGTCGACTCATTGGTTTGGATTCAGTGATGTGCAATTGAAAACATAAACAGATGTTGAGCAGCTGCACTTGTGCCTGATCTTGTACAAACACTGAGCCCTGCCGTCCTTGTATGTTATCATGCCCAGAAATAGTTGCATGGGGTCTTGTGCAAGCAGAATCACATGTGGATTGTTTTAGTGCCAGCAACTACCATGTTTCTCCTCTTGCCTTCCCAGTTATGCAACAGCTTTAGTGCAAGTGGAACTTTGGCAGAGGATCCAACAGTTTCTGAATCCACTGTAATCCCAACTGAATCCCAGTGAACACACTTGGCTTTAGGAAAAGAAGCATGGCTAGGGAAATGAGCAAGGCTGGAATGACAGAGAGACCAGTCATACAGATTTTCCTCCCCCAAAACAAGCACATGCAGTTCCTTTCAGTAGGCTTGGCATAAATCAATGTCTCTTTCTAAAGTAATTTCTACTTTTTCAATCTCTTATGATGCATCTCTTGCATGATGAATTTCATCAGTCCTGAGATTAGACAAACATTTCCCCCCCTGACTTTCTGATGCAAATTTGGCCTCATTCAGCACAATACTCTGGAGAGTTCACTTCAGTGCTGTAATTATCTCAGCTTGCGAACTATGCATTTACTGTTAGGGCAAGCTCAATAAAGAACATTGACAAAAAGACTTTACTATTTACTCAAATAGACATAAATCCTGGTCAAGGCTAGACATGGTGTGGATATCTACAGGGATGGTAAATGATATGTGGGAGACAGACATCCTCCCAGCTACTTTTGCAGACCACAGCCCAATCATGTTGACCTTACTAGATACACCAAGAAGAAAAAGATGGACTCTGAACACACTCCTTCTTAACGGAATCTAAAGTGGAATTTCAAAAAAAAATTAAAAAGAAAATATGCAACCAGAAGTCTCCATAGAAACAATGTGGGATACTTTTAAGGCATATGTTAGGGGATGGTTCATCAGACAGAATGCCTGGAAAAGAAAAACAAGATAACGGAAAAATCACCCAGATTCAAGAAAAAATTAAGAAAGAAGAAACTAAAATGAAGTCAACAGATGCTAACCTACAATTTGTTAAAAATAAAATTATAAACCTACAAAATCAGTTAAATTGCTTTTTAACCCAAGAAATTGCAAAGAAGATAAATTATGTAAGACAATATCATTTTGAAAATGCCAACAAGCCAACAAAATGGTTTGCCTACAAAATAAGAACAGAAAGAGAAAAGAAAATTATAAAGAGCTTAAAAATGAGGAGGGAGAAGAAAAATGTACTTTAAAAGATTTTTTAAAAGTGGCAGAACAGTTTTATAAGAGATTATATAAGCAAGAAGACATACATCAAGATAATATAAAACACGTATTTGAAAAATATATATAGAAAAAATTATCTGAAGACCAACATTTGTCTTAAACAAATCAATCTCTATGTGTGAAATAATTGAAGCAATAAGAAATCAAAAAAATAGGAAAACACCTGGGCCAGATGGGTTCCCTTCAGAATTTTATAAGATCTATGAAGATGAGGTGACATTAACATAAACAATAGGAAGTTGCCAGATTCTTTCAACGAAGCCAAGTTTATCACTTTCTGCATGCTGGTCTTTTGCAGTGTTTGGTTGTCTTTTGTTCCATCTTATCTGAGTACCAAGGGAAAATATATGGTGGCCGTGGAAATCTTCTCTATCTTGGCCTCTGGTGCTGGGTTTACAGTTTTTATCCCCCCCCCCCAATGCTATATAATTGTCAAAGCCCGGCTTAAACAACAAGGGCCAAATTATGATGAGAAACAAGTAGACTTTTAATTGTCTTGATTCTTTACAGTTGCTCAGTTCCCAAATTGTGATGTGTAATTATGAGTGAACTTGAAGGGAAAGTTCTTGAAATCAGTTCTGGAAGTGTAGCCAGGCTAATCTGTACAAACAGAGAATCTCAAAGCACCTGAAAGACACCCACCAAGACATTGTAGTATTAGCTTTCTCGCCATCATCTTTTGTCAAAGCCAAATAATAAGTACATAGTCTTATATTGTGGGGAGCTGAGAATTTGGTCATGTTCCCTTGTTGTATTGCATAATTATTTTAACACATATTAATAAATTGTATATAGTTAATAAAGTGGCCCTTGTTTAATCCAAATGGTTGTCCGTCTCGTTATTCCCGCTGTGGGGGCAAGCTCAGTTCCCAAATTGTGATGTGTAACTATGAGTGAACTTGAAGGGAAAGTTCTTGAAATCAGTTCTGGAAGTGTAGCCAGGCTAATCTGTACAAACAGAGAATCTCAAAGCACCTGAAAGACACCCACCAAGACATTGTAGTATTAGCTTTCTCGCCATCATCTTTTGTCAAAGCCAAATAATAAGTACATAGTCTTATATTGTGGGGAGCTGAGAATTTGGTCATGTTCCCTTGTTGTATTGCATAATTATTTTAACACAACCCCTTAAGGAAGGTGTTTTCTTTAGTTTCACTTTTCAGTTGTTACGTTGGCTGCTGGCTTTGACAGTTCTGGCCTAGCAGACCAAGACCAGGCCTTGCTTAGATTCCAATAAATGTATGAATTGTTTTTGAACTGTATGCTGTGAAATTATTGGTGGTGGGAAGTGCCATCAGGTCACAACTGACTTATAGCAACCCAATAGCACGAAACAAACAGAGATGGTTTGTCATTGCCTACCTCTGCATAGCAACCATCGACTTCCTTAGTGGTCTCCTATCCAAGTACTAACCTGGCCTGACCTTGCTTAGCATCTGAGATCTGATGTGATCAGGCTAGCCTGGGTTAAGCAGGTTAGGGCATCCCATTATTATACTAAATAATATAGACTAAAATGACATACATTAAGGAAATGTAGTTTTATGAGGATTGGGAACAAACTTTTTGTAAGTTGTGTCACAATGTATTAGGGGACCGCTGGTGGTGAATTTTTTTTTTTAAGTGGTGCAAGCTGAAGCATAGCAGCACTTCTGTGAAAAAACTGGAAATGGCAAGTGGTACATCTAGGAGTCATCAGAAACCCTATGATTTTACCATAGAGTTTCCATGAGTCCTACAGCTATCTATGCCACGTCTGTGGGGTTTTTTAACTGGAAATGACATGGCACTGCAGCCAGCATCATGTCCTCCATATCCCCACCCATAGCTCTCCTTCTGGTTTCCAGACATTGCCTGACAACCAATGTTCCCTCTAAGCTGTGGAGTCTCGTGAGCAAAAATTCTACTTTGTGAGCTACTGGCATTAAAGTTGTGAGCAAGCCGTTTGGCTCCTGCATTAATTAGTTTGCTCTGGAGCCATCCTTCCTGAGCAGAGACAAAAATGTGTGAGCTGGAGGATAAAAAACTGTGAGCTAGCTCACTCTAACTCAGCTTAGAGGGAACACTGCTGACAACCCTAAGTAGCACTAAATGGTGAGCAGCAGGACATTTACACTGCAATCCTAAGTGGAGTTATACCTGTTAAAAGACCAAGTCTGTTTAGGATTATACTGATAGATGCACAAGTTTTTAAGTTGTTTTAGTTGCTTTTGTTGTTGTTGTTTTTTCTCATACATTTCCCAAATTCCCAAACTGTAATGTGACTGGGAGCTAATCTTGGACACTTTCCCCTCCTGTCAAGTCACAGCTTATCCTATGGAGTTTTCAAAGCAAAAGATGTTCAGAGATAGAATCATAGAATCACAGATTTGGAAGGGGGCATACAGGTCATCTAGTCCAACCCCTTGCTCAGTGCCGGATCAGCCTAGAGCACCCCCAACAAATGTTTGTCCAGCCACTACTTAAAGACTGCCAGGGAGGCGGAGCTCACCACCTTAGTTGCTTTTGTTGTTGTTGTTTTTTCTCATACATTTCCCAAATTCCCAAACTGTAATGTGACTGGGAGCTAATCTTGGACACTTTCCCCTCCTGTCAAGTCACAGCTTATCCTATGGAGTTTTCAAAGCAAAAGATGTTCAGAGATAGAATCATAGAATCACAGATTTGGAAGGGGGCATACAGGTCATCTAGTCCAACCCCTTGCTCAGTGCCGGATCAGCCTAGAGCACCCCCAACAAATGTTTGTCCAGCCACTACTTAAAGACTGCCAGGGAGGGGGAGCTCACCACCTCCTTAGGCAGCTGATTCCACTGTTGCACAACTCTTACTGTCAAAAGTTTTACCCCTAATATCCAGCCTGGACCTTTCTGCCCTTAATTTAAATCCATGAATGTGAGTCCTCTCCTCTGCTGCCAACAGGAGCAGCTCCCTGCCCTCCTCTAGGTGAATGCCCTTCAAATACTTAAGGAGAACAATCCTGGTTTGCCATTGCCAGTTTCCTCATCACAACCCTTATATTCCTTGTTGGTCTCCTTTGTAAATACTGACTGGGGCCATCCCTGTTTAGCTTTTGAGATCTGATGAGATCGGGCTATCCTGGGCTATCCAAGGCAGGTCTTGGACAATTGTTAGAAATAAAATCCAGAAGAGGAGCCAAGGTGGTGATCTAGTAGGAGGAATAGGAAAGTGGGCAGACATGCCTGCCTCAGAGCATCTCCTGTCTTTGAGTTTCTGTTCTGATCCAAATGGAACTCCTGAAAAGGAAAGGAAAGTATTGTCGGATTTCAGCTAGAAATTAGGTTAAAGAGGAATTAAGACAATTTCTCTTACTAACACTATCTGTAATGTCATGTGATCCTCCGGAAGAACCAAGAGAGGGGGAGGTGCCAGTAATCCTAACAGAGTCCAGGGAAACAGAAACTCCACACAGGAAAGGAACCCAGAGGAGAATGGTGGACGATTATATGTTGATAATTAATAGTTATTTGACTTTATTTGTATTAGTTTCGTCATGCCAACAATAGAATAGTGCCGTGAGAATAGTGATGGACACTTCATGTTTCAAATAAACACTTCTGTGCCAAACTAAGCGATATTTTATTACAGGAATACATGAGACAAACAAGATAATTTCTCACATACTTCCTTTATTTGTAATTGATTCCGTTTTTTTTTTCCCATCAGCAAAATAGGAGTTTCCAGGGACATGGAATCACATGCTGCCATCATGTGGAGGTCTCTCAGAATTCCTTTATGGTCTTCTAATTCCCTCTGAACTGTGGAGAATTTTAATTAAGGGTTTTGAGTGGTAGGATTCTGTTGTCTCATTTAGCACCCTGCTTGCGGGGAGGGTGGGCTAGAAATCTAATGATAAATAGAAATAAAAATAAATAAAATTAAAAAATGTACTTCATGTGAGTACAGTTCAGATCCTGTCTAGTTTAAAGCTTGGGCCATTCCAATCGTTGGTCCTGACCACTCTTGACAGATTCCATTGGGAACATGAAGGACCCATACCATACAGACAGAAACCCATCCATCCCCCTTACTTCTCCTGAATATCTCCTTGTTCCACTTGCAGTTTTCATGTCAGTGATAGGTGGGTGCTGATATGGGGAGTGGATAATTAACAAACTGTAAGACCTGGCAAATTACTTTCCCAAGAACCTTAACACTGACTATTCCTTTCTGAATGAATGTTGATGATTAAGGGCCAAGAAACAACCATCTTCATATCTTTTACCAAGTGTAATCCAAGGCAGATGTGGAAAATGGACAAGTATCAGTATGAATGCCCCCCATCCAGTTTCCATTTGGTCCAAATCCACCAGGGTGATTGCCCTGATTCTGAGTCCCAGGGGAAAATTCCAGGATGGGGCCCTAGAATCATTCCTTCCTTAACCAAGGTGGCGAGGAGTCACTGCTGACACCAGAATCTGGCTGCTTAAGCACCAGATAAGGCAGGTGCAAATGGTAGCAGGAACCTCTTCTTATTTATCATCCTCTGGATGGCCAATAAGAGGGCATAGAGGCCAAAATCTTCCCCTGATGTTGCCTCCAGCTCTAGGATTCAGAGGATCAGAGCCTTTGAATTTGGAGGTTTCCCTCAGTTACCACGGCTAGCAGACATTGATAGACTTATTCTCCATGAATCTATCTAATCCCTTTTTAAAGCTGTTTATTCCTGCAGTCATCACTACATTCTCTGGCAGCGAATGCCACCTTTTAACCACCCTCTGTGTTAAGTAGTATTTCCTTTTGTCTGTCCAAAACCTATTGCCAGTCAGCTCCATTGGATGCCCTCGAGTTCTAGTCTTTTTGGCAGAGGGATAAAAATTCCTCTATGTTAACTCTCTCTACCCCAGGCATAATTTTATAAACCTCTATCACGTCCCCCCTTAGTCATCTCTTTGCTAAACATCTACTGTATTTTCTGGTGTATAAGACTACTTTTTAATCCAGGGAAATCTTCTCAGAAATGGGGGGTCGTCTTATACGCCGGTAAATACAGTACTCTGGTCTTTCTATCGCTTTCAGTAGTACATGTTGCGCTTTGAGCGTAGCAAACAACCAAAAAACAAAACAAGTATATCCCAAACTCTATATTTTAACTGGAAAAGTTGGGGGTCGTCTTATACGCCCAGTCGTCTTATACGCCGGAAAATACGGTACTTTGCTGCCTTTTGCTAAACATCTACTGAAAGTACCTTTTAAAAGTCCAGGTCTATAATGTCTACCGAGTCATCATTGTCTAAATGCTTGTTCACTTTCTCAAAGATATCCAAAAGGTTGGTGAGGCTGGACTTCCCTTTGCAAATTCTTAATTGTTATTATTATTAATAGTAATAATTATTGGTACAGCAGGATTAAAAATGTGGACTAGCTCCAAACGATAATGGGATTCCTAAAATAAATACTAGAAATTAAAATATTATATTCCTATGGAAGCAGCTATAAGAGCAGACTACAGAGATACATAGTCATATGTTTTTCTCCTTAAGAATTGCTTCTTATTATTCAGGTCAGGCCTCAAAAGAATGATATAACATTTGGGGGAAAATATGCAGCCCAGCAAACCAGCACTGGAAGACAAGATGGAGAAGACCTCTACGGCAACCATGTATTTCCCTTTAGTGCTCAAATAGGTTGGAACAAAGGACAGCCAAACACTGCAGAAGACTAACATACTAAAAGTGATAAATTTGGCTTCATTAAAACTGTCAGGTAACTTCCTAGCGAAGAAAGCCACAGTGAAGCTGGCAATGGCCAGGAACCCCAGATAGCCCAGGACACAATAAAACATGGCATCTGAGCCCTCATTACATTCCAGTACAATTTCCCCATCCACTGAATGCATGTCTGCATCTGGGAATGGCGGGCAGGTACTTAGCCAAAGAGTACAAAGTCCTGCTTGAATCACAGAGCTGGAAAGAAGAATAGAATTTGCCAGTCTCTTCCCCACCCATTTCCTCATTGCAGATCCTGGCTTATTAGCTATGAATGCCAGAACCACGTTGATGGTTTTGGCCAACACACTGGAGAGGGCCACGGAGAAGACGATGCCAAAAGCAGTTTGCCGAAGGAGGCAGGTCACTTTTACAGGCTGTCCAATGAAGAGCAAGGAGCAAAGGAAGCAAAGAAAGAGAGAGGCCAGGAGAACGTAGGAGAGATTCCGGTTGTTGGCTTTGACGATGGGAGTGCTGTGGTGTTGCATAAAGATGACAAGCTCCAAAGCTGTCAGCACAGAGCAAGAAATAGCCATTGTTGCTAAGATGATCCCTAAGGGTTCTTTGTAGGAAAGGTAGGTACTCATCTTGGGGATGCATTGAGTTTTGTTCATATTGCAATTGTGGTCTTCTGAACATTTGACACAGGCATCCATGTCTGAAAAAAAAGAGAAGTTGAAAGATTGCTGTGCTTTAAGCCATGCTTTGGGAAATGGTGTCACACAATTTGGACCAACCAGTGAGAAGGCATCTTTTTTATTATTTTTTTGCTTCGCAAAATAATCTTTGGGCAATATTGTGTTGTTGAAGATTTCTGTCCAAAGATGTGGGCTATGAGTCAACAATCAGCTCGCAAGCAGTTCTCTCAAGTCTTAACACCCCAACAACAAAAATGGTAACAAGTCTCCTCTGGGATGTGTGCAGCACTTATAAACACTCAAACATCTCTCCTTATTAATAATTGGGATTTGGGGTGGCAAGAGCAGTTTACAAACTCCTTTCCCGACCCCACCCCCACAACAGACTCCCTGTGTGGAAGGTGGGGCTGAGAGAGCTATTTCAAGCACTGCTATTTCAAGAACAGCTCTGACAGAACTATGGCTTGCCCAAGGACATCCAGCAGCTTCAAGTGGAGGAGTGGGGTAACAAACCTGGTTCTCCCAGATTAGACCCACTTAACCACTACACCAAGCTGGCTCTCACACCAAACTGGCTCAATTGTGAATTCTGAATCAGGTGTGGGTTGTTGTTTTTAATGATTACATGATTATCTTTCCCCCCCATTCCAATATTGTCTCTCTATGAGTGCTATCCTTAGTAGAGTTAGTGAGGAGGGACTTACAAGTGTGTGAGTTGGAGCCCCTGAACAATTTCCTTATACACTAGACCACCTCCACTGTGGAGAGCACATTCTCTTCCACTAGCTTTTTCTTAAAGCAATGGGTTTCAAGGAGTCCTTGTGCAAACAGAAGAAGCGTGCTGTATGGCAGAGCCTATGTAGTGTGCATAAAACTTGTTCATAGCATCAATGCCTTCTGTCTTTTGATGATGGTATGGTTAGTAGGTTCACAGTGATCAAATTCTGATGTAAAAGGACAGTAGGTTCCAACTGGGGGGCAAATTGCTAATATTTCTCTTTTGTATCTTACCTTCCTGATCAGAGATCATCCTATCTGGACACTGAGCACAATCATAGCAGCAAAATCTCTCTCCTTCCTTCTTTTTCCTGCTGTAACCAGGATGGCAGCGGTCATTGCACACAGAAAGGGGCAATGTCTGTATGTAAGTAGAAAGGGAGACGGCCATTGAGAAAATGTATGTCCACAATGTACAGTGTTCCTTGAAATGGAATGACAACAACACAGAACTTCCCATATATTGATTACAGTTTCAAAATTTTATTGCTTAAGAATTGCCATCGGGAAAAGGTTATGTATCTACCTACTAAAGTATTTGTTTATTAAAATATTTATACTTTGCCTTTTCTTTGTGACTCATGGTAGCTTAAATGTTTAAATTGAAACCCTTTAAAGGGTTGGATGCAAACTGCTTTTGTGATGATGAAGACCAAAGGAGGGGTTGCCCTGACCAAGTTATCCCATGCAAGCTCGAACTCATCAGATCTCAGAAGAAAAGCAGGGCCTACCCTGGCAAGTACTTGGCTCGGAGATCTCCAAGGAATACCAGGGTTGGGATGCAGAAGCAGGCAATCAGCAAGTCGCCTTTCTAAAATGTCCAAGCCAACTAGGGGTCACCAGAAGTCAACCATGACTTCCAGGTGCGTGCATGCACACACGCACACACACACACACACATTTTCAGAGGAAGGAAGGAAGGAAGGAAGGAAGGAAGGAAGGAAGGAAGGAAGGAAGGAAGGACGGAAGGAAGGAAGGAAGGAAGGAGTCTACTGGGTCATCAGAGAACATTGTTCCGGGGACCTACTAGGACAAAATCCATGTGGGATAGGGGCTGTAATAAGAATTGGGCGAGATGGAGCGGGAAAGCTGGCTGGTGCTATACCATCCCCATTTATCCCCCTCAAGAATATCCCTGATGCTCAAACTCCATTGACTGTCCTAACAAAGTAATCTCACAGCATCTTCCATAAATCTTTAAGGAAGGTTCCCTCCTAAGGGATCCTGTTTCACAAAGTGAGAGATAGTATTGGGATGAACTCTGGTAGATACTGTGTGGGGAGCCTTAAGCAGGTGGACAACCAGACGATGAACTGCAATTGGTGTAGGAAGACTTATGGGGAGAGACTGTTCATCAAATATGTGAGTCTTAGGCCATGAAGGATTTTTCACATCATAATCAGAACCTTTAATCGAACTCAGAAACATCATAGGAGCCAATGTTGCTGTTAAGGCAAGATATATTGCAGTTAGCTATTTCCGGACAATACACAGGCTGCCTCAGTCTGAACCAGCAGCAGTTTCTGGGCTGCCTGTAAGGGCAGTCCCCCATGGAACATGTTGTGATAGTCTAACCACATGGCCAAGTCAGATGAGTTTAACAAATGGGGAGCATCAGCAAAGCAGATGCAGCTGATAGAATGCACTCTTGACCACCACACCAAACCTGGTTTTCAAATAGCAGAGCTGAGCCTATAGACACTCTTGGTGTCTTAAAAATGCTTCGATTTCAATTCAGAATGAAGATTTCATTAATGGGCTTGCTGTCCTTGCAGCTGCGCTTTCCTCCATCAATATAAGATTTTCTGCAACTTGACCTTGCACCGACATAATTCTGTTTTCATTCAGTGCTCTATTCCTATGCTGGACTATTCAAAGGTAGATTCCATTTATTCAGTAAGGTTTAGTCCCAGTCAAGTAGTTTTAGGATTGCAGCCCAGAACTGGTAATCATAATCAAACATATGCATGTGCATTCCCTCCCTGTTTCATTTGCAATTCTGACCTGTCAGGTAAAATAATTGGGGCCAAACAAGGAAAGACAGTGTCACAAGATGCATATTTTGGCGGCGGATAGCGCTTCTGTACTTCTGTGCTAACATAATATGTGGAAGTTACTTTAAAGCGAAAGAAAAAGGATAAATCAATTCTCAAAGCCAAAGATCTTTCGAGGAGGTACGACAGAACAAGGATTGCAGCATTGGCAGTTTGTAAAAAGAGAAAACAGCGACCCGGAGGAGGAGCCGAGAAGCCGGAGAGAAGCAAGCGGAGGAAGTTCCTTGTAGAATCTGGAGGCTAAAAGAAGCCAGCCCACAGTGAATTGGTTCGAAAAGCGCTTTGAAAAGACTTTATTAACAAGGCACCAATGGGACACTACTAACATATTAACATAGACAATGTATTTAACCGGTTTGAAGAAAGAAGTTTGACAACACACTCAAGAAGAAAAAGAAGAAAAGATTTATATTACTAACAGATTAATATACTAGTTAAAACATCACTCAGCTTTCTCTTGATCCCACTATATACCTTCCCCCTTTCTAATTAAGCGAAATATCTCTCCTTTTTAGGAGGGGGGAAAAAGCTTTTAAATTTAAAAAAACCATAATATGTGGAAGTTAAAGGGGAAGCCTTACTGTAACGTTTCCAAATCTGAGAGGAATACAAGTGAATTTATATGAACCTCATATCTTTTCATGCACTTTAGGCCTTCCCCCACCCCATAGAAAATTATGCCGCAATCCAAAACAGAGTTAAACTCTTCTAATTTGAAGGCTCAAAAGGATGCAGCCCTAATTAGGTCTGCACAGTGAGACAGATCACATAGAGGTTTCAGATGGAACCCATGGATCTCCTTTTGAAGTTATCTAACGTAAAATACATTATAGTTAAGAAGAATCTGAGAAAGTTTTAAAAAGGACTTGAAAGACTTAAATGGTCATTTGTGGTATAATTCTTGGGAAGAGAGTTGAGTAGAGGTGAAATCAAATGGCCCAAAATCTCCCTTTATCTGCAGCAGTGGGAATGAATGAAATTTGATCTCTCAACTTTTCCTGGATCCTCATAAAGATAGGAAATATTTGTGGAAAATATTCAGTAACTGAAAGCCAGACAGAAATTTCCAGAATTGTTTTAGAGACTCTGGTACCTGTAGTTGTGTCTCACCTGGTGAAAGCTTCTATGCCACACTATTTTGGTATCATTTAGGGTTAACTCTTTACCCAGAGGAGCCTTAGGTTCCATGTTTCCCACTTTTACTCTCACAAAAGAGCTATTTGGGAAGGTTACCCAGTTTGTGACATCAAAACCTGCAATCACTTCCCCCTTTTCATCAAAATGCAAAGTATCCCCTGCGCTGTTATTGAAGACGATCCTTTGTAGAAAGTGATGGAGCTGGATAGAAAAAGAAAATGAAACAGAGGGAAGATAAGATGATAATAGAATCAGCTTCATAAAATCCTGCCTTTCCTAGATCTGGATTATTCTTGATTTGCAATTTTTTTTTTTAATTTCCAAGATGAGGCCTTGTGGCACCTTGAAGATGAACAGAGATATTGCAACATAAGCTTTCACAGGGCTTTTTTTGTAGAAAACGCCCAGCAGGAACTCATTAGCATAACAGGCCACACCCAACAGCAGGAACTCATTAGCACCCCATGGCTTCCCTTGGCTTGCCCGGGTGCCCAGCAGCTGCGGGGCACCCAGGCAAGCCGGCCCTTGGACAGGCCGGCCCTTGGACAGGCCCCTTCCATGGGACCCCCAGCCTGCCCGCTTCAGAGTCACCAGGGAGGCCACTCTCCAGGCCTTCCCTCTGTAGCCAGGCACACAGAGGTTTTTGGCTGTAGTGGGCGTGGCCAACTCTGAAGCCAGCCGGAGCTCCGTTCCTGTCTGTTCCTGTCCAAAAATAGCCCTGAGATTTCATATGCCAGAGCTAGGGTTGCCAGGTTCTACCTCTGATCTGGTGGGTGGCTCCCAGGTCCTCATTGGGATGTTCTGCCCTGTGCACTTCTGTGGGGTATAAATCTGTGCTGTGTGGAAAACAGGCTCAGGGTGGCCTTATATGTCATCCTGGAAATGTAGTAGTTGTTGAGGACATGGAAACCCAAAGTTTCCGGTAAGGAGTTGGGATTCTCTTTGATTTCTTGGCAGCATGTTTTTTGCCCTCAAAACCAAAGAGTTTGCCCAAAAACTGGAGCATCACCCCCTCCCAACATCAGCAGTGTGATGACATCACTGCCGGGTGATGTCATCATGCCAGTGATACTGACACACAAGGGGGCTGTTCGGGGGTGATATTTCCCCTGCTGGCCAGTGGTGGATTGGAGCACTCAAAATCGGGGAAACCTCCAAGGGTGGCCTTATATGTCATCCTGGAAATGTAGTAGTTCTTGAGGACATGGAAACCCAAAGTACCGTCCGGTAAGGAGTTGGGATTCTCTTTGATTTCTTGGCAGCATGTTTTTTTGCCCTCAAAACCAAAGAGTTTGCCCAAAAACTGGAGCATCACCCCCTCCCAACGTCAGCAGTGTGATGATATCACTGCCGGGTGATGTCATCATGCCAGTGATACTGACACAGAAGGGGGCTGTTCGGGGGTGATATTTCTCCTGCTGGTCAACTGGCCAGCGGTGGATTGGAGCACTTGAAATCGGGGAAAACTCTATTCAAACTGGGGACATGGCAACCCTAGCCAGAGCCCATTATATCAAAGCACAGTACTTTTTCTCTCCATAGAATTCTGTTGTTTGCCCACTGAAGGGTAGCAATGTTATATTTTAAATGGTTCTTTATGAAAGTAAAACAATTAACATAGCAGTTTTTATAAGGGGGGGGGCTTCTTTTAAAGTCATTTGATGTCCTTTTTGGCTAATAAGCATTAGGAACAGGAATTCTTGTGAATTGCTTTGTGCAGATTTAATGGGCTGAATTTCACTTCCCTCAGGTGGATCACCCAGTCTTCTTTAGAAAATGCATCTGTGTCTTTGGAGCTTACCTGCCAGGGCTGAACGTTCTGAAACTCCACATTCCTTCCATTCCATCTTCTGTGTTTCAGTCCAGATAAGTAAAGGGCATGCAAAGCATGTGCCACAGCATAGACGGCATTATAGATATTGTAGCTGTGGCCAGTCATGCTCATTTCAAACAAAGTCCTGGGAAGGCTCTCCAGCTTCTCTTCCCCAGTGCAGGCTTTGATGTCTTCTTCCAGTGCACTAAACATACTAAATGAGCAAATGAATGCTTGTTCCCAAAAGTTCTGGATGAAACCATCACCTTTGGCCCAGGAAGGATTTACGATCTGAAGGAAGTTTTGGAATCCTGGTAGGTGACTGGAGTGAACTGTGAAGGATATGGCACCATGAAAGTCCTGTATATCCCAACTTCTTTGAATGCTCAGTGATTCAAATTCCCATTGGGATGTAACAATCCACACTTTCCCAAGAGGGGGCAATGATGAGAAGTGTGCTAAGAAAAGCACCCATCTCAAACCTGAAAATGACAAACGTTCTCCCAGTACAAAATACACGTTTGCTTTGTTTTGTATGAGAAGTGGATATGTTTCCAGCTGCTCTATATACATGTCTACTAACTTTGTCATATAAGTCCGCTTTGGCAATTTTTGTATGAAAGCAAAGCAGATGCCATTTTGAGAAAGCATTGGTATTATTGTCTGCAGGAAAAGGTCCCCACTGTCATCATCTGTTGCCAAGAGCCCAACCCATGTCCATCTGAAATGGTGAAGTAACTGGACAATCCCCTTGTACTGATAGACTTCATTTGGGACCATTTGGTACAAAGGCGGGAATACATTTTCACTGTACTGTGCTGCTGAAAATGATCCGTAAGTGAGCTGAAAGAGAATGTGTAGCCCATGTTCAGAAGCATCCCAAAAACTGTCCAATTGTGTGCCAGATTCTGAAATTTTTATACCTCCATATATGTGGCTTACCTGTGGAACCTTGTAGATGGATAAAATGGTAGCGATATTATCTGATATTTCAGAGACAAGCCCTCCAATGACAGCTATCAGCATTTTCTGGGTGTGAGATCTGAAGTTGGGTAAAAATCTGTGCTGTGTGGAAAACAGACTCAGGGTGGCCTTATATGTCATCCTGGAAACAAAGTAGTTGTTGAGGAGATGGAAACCCAGAGTAGTGTTTGCTAAGAAGTTGGGATTCTCGTTGATTTCTTTGACAGCATATACGAAAGCTAAGACATTCTGGTAGTATTTTGGCACTGAACTGCAATGATAAAGTGTTTTTTTTAAAAAAGCAAAAAACCAAAGAGAAACTGCAAAAAAAAAAATTCACTTGCACCAATCCTTGTTATTGCAAATTTTAGGAAAGCCCTTAAATATCCCCTTCTTCTGTAGAAATCTTCATGCTGTGACAAATCTCCTGTGAGTTTAAAGGTCTAAAAAATGGTGCACCAGTCTTTCTAGATCCAGGTAGGCTACCATCGTGGTCTGAAGCATTAGAAAAAAACTAGGAGTCCAGTGGCATTTTTAAGACCAACAAAGGTTTATTCAAAGTATGAGCTTTCATATGTGCACATGGAAGCTACTACCTTGAATAAATCTTCGTTGGTCTTAAAGGTGCCACTGGACTCAAACTTCATTCAGTCTTACTAGAGATTGTGAACAGCTCTTCTGGAAGTAAACCAAGAAGAGTGTCATAATCTATCAATTTCCTTGATTCAATAACTTTATGATTGATTCTCTTTTGGACAATTGCTGTGTTTAACAAACTGCTGTATCAGATTTCCAGAACTGTTCTGTTTTGTATAACATAACAACATAGGTAAGGGAATATATCTTCTTTGCAAATACAGGAAACAGACAGAGAGAGTCTCTTACTAGCTCTTATTGACTATATTAACACTTCATGCTGCAAGTATTAATGATGAGAAACTCTAGGAATGAACCAGCAGAGGAAGAATAGAATTAATGAGGTCCACAACTATGAATGGATTGTTTCTCATATCTAAAATCAGATACGATGAGATACTATATTTAGAGAGTGTATTGTAAATGGAAAGCAACTGGGAAACCATTCTAGATTTGTTGAGCTCAGTAGTGTTTGAAAGCACAACCCCAAAATATCAAAAGGTAGATTAACACATCTTGGGCCCCTGCCACACGCAGGGGAAAAGGCGCTAGAAGGCGCGGCTTTTAAAAGCCGCGCCAACGTTGACACGGCGCGGCGGGATCTCACGGATCCCCCGGCCGCGCCGCCGTTTCTCCCCGGCCGCGCCGCCGTTTCTCCCCGGCGAGATCAAACGCCGGGGAGAAAACACAGCCCTAACCGGGGCCTGGCCGAACTGCGCATGTCGGAGCATGCGATGTTGTGGTGTGATCGCGCTGCTTTGATCCGCCCCCAAACTGGCCCGCAACTGGCCCAAATCGCCGCATGTGAACGGGACCTTGGTTTTATGGTATTCATTTTTTAAGTGGCTGTAAACATTTGCTTCTAGATACAAACTGTGAATAGTGAGTGAAAACAGACTGGTTGGTATCCAGATCTTCCCCTAGTCCTACCCTGCTCTATCTCCCATGGTCCCATGATCACCAACATGGCCTTTTTGGTTTACAAAAAACACCACTTCCTCCATTTTTCACCAGCAAGCAGCAAAAAAGTATTTGAATCCACCCACTGGTATGTAAAAATGTATGTTAACACACACACATACACACATATCCAGGAATCTCCATGACCTCTTATTTGCTTTGCTTCAAAAACAATATCTGACAATGCCTTGGATTAAGCAAAGAAACTAGAAGATTCAATGCATTATGATATTTCAGAAATTTGATTTCAAAAAAATAAAATTTAAAACATTAATATGAAAAGATGACGATCAAGACCAAATTTGCCCTGAGCTTATTAATTACTGCCCATGCTCATCACTGGTATGGGAGCATAAGACAGGAATTGCAGTGGTCTGTTGAAATCAACTAATAGTCATTGCATGGCTTTCACAAAAAAGGTACTTGAAAAACTAAGGGCATGCTCCATTGCATGATTCTTCTCCACAAGCCCCACACAGATTCCTTTCAGTTCAATGGAACTTGTCCAGGAGAATTTTCCCAAACAAAATAATGTAAAAATGCAAGGCAAACCAAACGATATTCTGTTATTTTTTCGGATAAGTATGTATGTACCATCAAGTTGGAACTGACTTATGGCAACCCTAGCAAGGGGCTTTCTAGGCAAGTTAGAAGCAGACGAGTTTTGCCTTCCACTTCAGAGTCTTCCTTGGTGGTCCCTCATCCAAGTAATGACCCTGCTTAGCTTCTGAGACCTGAAAAGATCAGGCTATACCATAACATTCCACATCCCCATCATGTGGAATGCTTTCTTTTTAAGAAAAAAAATTGGGACACAGATTAATGTACTTTTCTTAACTATATGATGTGAGCATGCTAGAGAAAGAAAATAAAGAAGTGTTTCTTACACAGATTCACCAGCCATCATCGTTTGGGGCAATTCCTTGAAAAAGAAAGTATCATGTGTTAAGAAGACTTGGGAGACTATCCCGCCAATGATTAGGTCACCTGGTTGATCAAATTCATGAAGAATAGGAAGGGGATTCTCATGTACAATGCAAAGATCAGAAGTCTCCTTAAATGCAGTATGGCAGAAGAGAACAAACTGTAACAATAGTATCGCAAACATCCATGCAACAAAATCTTCTTTCCAGATGCAGGTCCCTATGTTTCCATCTACAGCAGTACCCAGCTAGCATCAATTTTGTTAGAAATGCCCTTCACCTGAAATGAAGATACAAAAGGCTGACAGATACCTCCCTATTGCTAGAACCAGTTCCAATCAACATACAGTGTTTTATAGCATCATTCAGCTGGAGGTATTAACCTTGCTAATGCTTATTTGAAATCCCATTGGGTAGAGGTAGGAAACCAATAATTTTAACAATTTCAGATGAAAAGTAAAGCCTCCAGAGTTTTGATCATTATTATGGCAACATGTGTATTTTCACAGATCCCACCTCTGAAGATTTACAAGAAATGGGATGCATGGCCGTTGAATATAGAAGTGAACCACATCTGAGACCACACGTCAGCCTTCAGGCCATATCATACAACATTCACACTACACAAGTAGTTGGATGGTTATAATGCAATAAGCAATGTGTTGGATCCAAGCAGCTTTTCCATCTGTGAAAATGGGAGTAAGAAGGTGCTTTGAGTACTCAAAAGATTATGCTGGGGATCATAGGGCATGTATGGACAAAAGCCATGTACATGGGTATAACATGGACACCTCACTTTTCAGGTTGTGGAACCCAGGGCTGTGGACATGCTCCTAGGAGAGGTCAGATCACCCACCTGTGTTCCTGACCCTTGCACTTCCTGGCTGATAAAAGTGGCCATAGGGGGTCAGGCAGAATGAGTAAGGGGACTGGTAAATGCTTCTTTGAGAGCAGAAGTTGTGCTCTCCATGCCCAAGGAGGCAATGATTACTCCTGTTATGGAGAAAAAAACACTTCTCTGAGCTAGGAGGACTTCTGGCCCCTCTCCATATTCCATTCTTGGGCAGGGAAAGATGCTAGAGCTGGTGGTTGTTTCTCAGCTCCAGGGGCTCTTGGAAGAGACTGATTTTCTGGACCCATTCCAACTGGGCTCCAGGTCAGGATTTTGAATAGAGACTACTCTGGTTCAATGTTCCCTCTAAGCTCCACAGTGTTGTGAGCAGAAATTCTACCTCGTGAGCGGGGGGAAAAACACCTAGTAGCATTAAAGTTGTGAGCGAGTCGACTTGTGAGCGAGTCTACAATTGACTATCATGTAAATTAGTTTTTTGGAAGACTACTTCCATAACCTTGTAAAAATCTCACAATAAATTCACCAATGGAAAATATATGGTGGCTGTGGAAATCTCCATTTTGGCCTCTGGAGCTGAGCTGACAGCTTTTATTCCCACGTCCCCAAATCTCTCCTTATATATAATTGAATAGTGGGTGCCAAAGTTCTAATTCTAAAATGCACTCCCTTAGTGTATGGCTGATGGCACTGCTCCTCAGCATATATCACCACCAATCAGAAGGCAAAGCCCGGGTCCCACCCACACCACAACTGCTGCGACAACCTGGTCTTTTGCATATGGAAGCTGATTGGACTTCACTCCATTCCACGGAAAAACACCTAGTAGCATTAAAGTTGTGAGCGAGTCGACTTGTGAGCGAGTCTACAATTGACTATCATGTAAATTAGTTTTTTGGAAGACTACTTCCATAACCTTGTAAAAATCTCACAATAAATTCACCAATGGAAAATATATGGTGGCTGTGGAAATCTCCATTTTGGCCTCTGGAGCTGAGCTGACAGCTTTTATTCCCACGTCCCCAAATGTTATATAATTGTTGTGACGCCTGGCTTGAACAACAAGGATCAACTTGTAAAGAGAAATAAGTAGCCTTCCAATGTTTAGGTTGTTTACTGTTATCCATTCCCCAAATTTTGATATGAAACTATAAGTTTACTTTGGGAAACAACAAAACTACAAAAAAGATGTTCAAGGCGGTGAGAACTGGGAAGGACCGTGGGGAACTCCAGCGGGATCTGTCTAGGCTGGGTGAGAGGGCATCAACATGGCAAATGAGGTTTAATGTGGGAAAGTTCAGAGTAATGCCCACTGGAACAAAACATCCTAACTATAAATATTTATTAATTATTTGATTTATACCCTGCCCTCCCCACCAAGACAGGTTCAGGGTGGATACCAAGGCCATTTGGCTTCGTGAACTATAAAACAATAAAAGAATTTAAACAAATTAAAATCATCCGATCATTTAAAACACAACACACCTGAGATGGCAAACTGTCCCATCAGCCACGATAAGAGAAAACAGCAACTGATATCTAACTCTTAAGCATTTCGTTCTGTGATATGGGCGTAGCAGGCGGCCAAAGTAGATTGTGGGGGATAGATTTATGAATACATGAGACAAACAAGATAATTTCTCACACACTTCCTTGATTGGTGATTGATTTTGCTTGGCCATTTTTTTATTCAC